GGGTTTTTTTGTTTTGTTTTTTTGGTTTTTTTTTTTTTAAATTTTCCTGTCCATAAAGGATGACTGAGTTCACTGCTGCTGGAAATACCTCACCTCGTGCCTGAACACGCTGTCGTACTTGCGGAGCGTGGTCCTCTACGAGCTGCGGGAGGAGCAAGCCATCAGCATCAGCTAACCAAGCAGATGACTCCCCTGGGAGAAAACCTTTTTTTTTTTTTTTTGCAAAAAATATGAGGTTTCATACCAGACTCCTCAATACCAGACTAACCCTCCTGGGTCACCTTACGGTGATGTACTGAGCTCTGCTTCCACAAACTCTTCCCATGTTTCTGCTTGGCACCACACCACACCAGCTGCTTTATCAGTTGTGAGCAAATACGAGAGGAAAGCACAGAAAATGCAAATTCACAACCGTTCACTCAACGGCCCTGATAAGAGCCTTCTGGATTGCAAATATTTAGGAGCCTTCATCATTCTGCTTGCTTTTACAATAAGACTGCCCTGGTTTCTGAAAGCCAATCTTATCAAAACTGGCAAAATAGCGTGAAATCTTCAGTTCTGGCACAAAAGCAGGTTGAATAGAAAAAGAAACGAAACTCAGTATTTATTTATTTTCGTAGCCAGTCTGAGAAAAGCTGCCTGGCCAGAGACACGCTGGTGCTGCAGTGACCAACCCCCCAAGTCCCAGCTCGCATCAGGATCGAGAAGTCGAGCCCAGACCACCCGTGCAGGACCAGGCTCTTGGAGGTGCCTCAAGTCTGACTTGATCTTAGACTAAACCAAAAACCAGAGGCAGGTGTCAGCGCTCGGGCATCCGCTTCCTGCGCGCTCGAGGCAGCAGGACACAGCAACCAAAACTATATTAGGAAACTTGACAGTTTCAGCCCAAGGAAAACGTTTCCTTTTGCGTCAAAAGCCCATGTGCAACCTCTCTCATTTTTAAACTCCAGCTTTTAAGTCAACATCATAAAAGACAACAGCAACCAGAGACAACTTTCATCTTCAAGTGCATTTAAATACTCCCTTCGCACCACATAGATGCTGATTTTAAGCAGAGTTTGGGGCTGGGGAGGTGTGTTTCCCAGCCTAGTTACTAAAATATCTCTTTTTTTAAGATTTGGGCATGCCAACGTCATAGCATGGGGCCGTTTGCTAACAAGGAACACGACAAAGAAAGGGCGAACCAGGTGGGACCGGACTGACCCATCCCAGGGGTCTTCAAGAGGCAGAACCTATACGATCAGCCCGTGCCACCGGTGAGTTCAACGCACGAGAAAACACCAGTAGCAAAGTCTTACACCACAACACTCCAAATCCTGCCAGCTCCCCACCCACGGATGATTTTATTATGTTACCTGCTGGCTTCTCTGCTGCTTCTGTCCGGGATTTTTAGCACTACGTTCACGTGCTCTCCCCCCCACCCCCCCCCCCCCCAGCTCGCACCAGGGCTTGTGCGCAGCGACTTTTCCAGTGGAGCGATGCAGTGGGGAGATTACGCCGAGCCGTGAGTCACGCCTAGCTCTGAACTATAATAAGCTTGATCCTTACACAAACAGTATTTCTTGCTTGGTCACCACACCCATAAAAACAGAGAGTGAAAGCCGGGCATCCTGAAGCGCCGTAAGGATGCCTCCACCTATCGCTAATTCAGACCTTCGTCCTTCCAGGCGGTGAAACAACACGGACCTGTCCGGTTTTGCCTCTGCCCTTCAGAAAGGGGCAGCGAGGAGAAAGCCCGGTTTAGTTAATCTCCACACAAGCCTGCAAACCTTGGTAAGGGAAATCAAACCCCTTAATACCAAAACGCCCATCTAAAACAAGAGTAAAGTCGGAAAAAAAAAAAAAAAAAAAAAAATACACGGAAGCAAAGCGACCCGCAGCTTCCTCGCGTCCCACATCCTCCCCGCAGGACGACACGCCACCAAAATGAATCTGCCGGGTTTCGGTAGGAACTCGGCAGAAGCGAGGCCGGAGGGGTGCGGAGCATCCCGGGCCTCCGCGGCAGTTTGGAGAAACTGCAGGACCGTGCTTCCTGCCCCAACTCGACCGGGGAAATTAGAAGAGACCAAGGGAAGAAATAAAAAGGAAGCAAGGTAAAATAAATGCACCTCAGCTTCAGCACTCGTGTCTTCCACAGCGTAATAGTGGGGGGAAAAAAAAAAAAAAAAAAGGAAATCGTTAAGCACACTGAATTAAATAAGCATTTCACCAGAAACAAATACAGTCCACCGAACAGGAAAGATGGACTATCAGTTCCAGGATCATAACTTTAAGGGGCTTTAATTCTCTTATTTTGTTTCGATTTCAATCATGTTGAGAAGATGTACTTCAGAAAAAGAAAAAAAAAAAATATTTTTAAGTTCTGATATCAAAACTAAGCCTCAAACATGATCTGGAACTCCTGTATTGTACGTGGCCTTTGCTACGTTTACAAAGGTATCTCCAGAAATATTTTAGGAGCCTAAAACTATGATTTGCCACGTGATTTGTTGACAAGGGCTGGAACGCGAGTCAGGACGCCAGGGCTCCTGTCCCAGAAGCACAAAGTCAGCGCACGACCTTGGCCGGGCACCTCCACCGCGTCCCAGCGTCTCGGGCAGGAGAAAGGACAAGAGGAGCTCCAAGACGGCCCCTCCGAAGCCCTCGGGTACCTTCAGGGGAGACCCAAAGTGCCAAAACCCGGAGAGCTCTCGTCCTGCCAGACCCAGGCAGCAGCTCTTCGCTCCCCACCGCCAGTCCCGCACTTTGCTTTGCAAACCTCCACCAGAAGGAAGCTCCCGCGAGCGAGGCAGCCAGCCGCAACGCAGCGAACTCCTAAACCAAAAACCCACCCCCCAAAAAAACGTGTAATTAGCAGCCCTCTACCTGTAACGCAGAGGGAAGCGAGCCTGGCTCGCCCTCCCCTGCAAACCTCCCCCCGACGAAGGGCTCATGTGCAACCCAGAGGGGAGATGGGCGAGCCTTCGGTGCCGTAAGCAGCCCCACACCTGAGCTGACCAAGCCCTGCTCTTTTTTAACGAGCCTTATCAGAATAGCGACCAGCAAAATAAGCTGCTCGGCTCCAAACCAGCAAGATCTGAAGGTCCTCGAGGGAGGTTCCTCGCTTCCTCCTCCTTCCCGGCCTGCCTCCCCGACCTGCCACCGGCAGGTTACCTAACGCGCGCGAGAACAGCCAAAACACAGAGCCGGGATTAGCGATGCCGTGCCGAACCCGACCTGACCTGACCCCTTCACCAGAGCCGCTAAGCTCCGACTAGGTGCTGTGCGAGTTGGGGCGCGGACTGCGCAGCTCTGGCTTCACCGATGGCAAAAATCAACCCGGCGGATCACCACCTAACCTCCGCTGCCGGGGCGCAGCGAAAACGGTGATTCCCGGTGAAAAGGGAAGGTGCGAGAAAACCTGCGAGCTCGCCAGCTCCTTCTGCCCAAAGGGCGGGCGCTGGGGGACGCAAAAAGAGGAATATTTGTAAATCGATGCGAGAGGCAGCCCGCGCTCAGGCTGGACGTAGCGCTGAGGTTACAGGCGCGAGTAGCTCTTGGATGAGATTTCCCCTCCGGTGAAACCCCACTCCCGCCTCGTGCAGATTGCTGGCACCCTCCAGGCTGCCTCAGGACCGCGCACCGTCCCCGCAAACGGAGATTCTCCAGCAGGGAAAAGGCATCCTTAAAACGATGCTGCTGCTCAAGAGTCAGCAGGAGAAAAGCAGCAGTTAAGCAAGAGTCGCAGTGACGGTTTATAAAAACGTGACGATTTTCATATGCTTAACTGCTTTTAAAGAAAAACTTTACCCTGTTTTGCCGAGCTACAACCACCTGCTTCCCTTTGCTCTAAATACAACCCGTGCTAATTTCAACACACAGATTATACTAAAACTCAGGTTGAAGAACACGTCGGCAGCCGCACAGGAATGAAACCTCCAAGCTGTAGAAAAGCCAGAAAAAGTCTCCAACACAAACACGGCAGCTTTATTAAGTCTGAGGCTCTACCCACACCACCATCATTCTTATTTATCAATTCCTCTTCGGAGAGGGTTTGTGCTTTTCAGGATAAATTACAAACCTGAACTTTCTGTTAGGTCCTGAAGGCAAAACAACGGCTCAAAGCCCGACGCGGATCATGTATTACATTAAAAAAAAAAATAAAAAAGCATTGTCATTACAGTGCAGTAATTAATAAGGATGGTTATTGAGCACGCAAGGTCTAATTTTCACAGCATCCTTTCTCCCACTTAAGCACCAACTTTTCACCTCTGAAAGCTGCCCACGGGTGAGGACACGGCTCCCGGACGCTCGGTCAGGGGGAGGCAGCACCCAGGGGCGAAAGCGGGGCCACGTTTGGGATAAACCAGAGCTGATGGCGAGGATCCTGCGGCTGCGTGGAATGACGGGCTGTAAAGACTGGCCATAAACACACCACGCTTCACCGGGCGGCGTTCACCGCCTCGTTAGGATGAGGGACGGCAGCGGCAGGAACGGAAGGTGAAGAAATGATTGTGCAAAGCAGAGTTTCCTAAAATCGTCCTTCCTTATCAAATTTGTGAAATGATAAAGCTGTTAAATCCTTTGACGAGCGCAGCAGCAGCTGCTCACACGCTCTCAGAGCGGGGTTACACTCCCAAGAATTATAGTAATTATATAAAGGACCCGTCTTAGGCTCTCTTCCTGGTTTAGCCAACTACGAGGCACCTATCTAAAATAAACAGTTTTCTCCGTGGCCGCGTGCGAGGAAATTCAGTTTGAGACAAATCCACCTGCTTAAATCAGGCCACTACTATTTCCAGCGCAAACCCCGGTGTCGTGGAGCCCGGCACTCGCTGTCCTCGCCGGCCTCCCGGGGGGACGCTCGCTATCAGCGCCTCCGCAAATCGGGCCACGGCAGATTTCACATCGTTTTCTCCCCACCGTATTTTGATCCAGCCCTCTTCCTGCCAGGTAAGCCTATTTTTGAAGGGATGAGTTCACAGTTGAACTAAAAGCTCTGTCGGAGCCGGGGCGAGAGAGGATCCCTTCCGGAGCAACGTCCCGTCCCGGGCAACCGCACGGCAGCGAGCCGCCGGGACTCGCCAGAACCACGGTAAACTCTCGGCAGAAAGCTAAACCAACAAAAACAAAGGGATAAAAAAAGACCACGAGCCTGATCTTTTGTAAGTATTTAGGCGCACCACTCCTCTGCACAACCCCTGCCTCCCTCCATTCCGGCAGGGATCTGCACGTGTAACACCCACCGCTCGCACACCGAGAGCCGGCTCTGCGCCAGGCTCCTCCGAGCCGCGGGCTGGGAACGAGCGTCTCGCCCGACCACCCTGCCAGATGCACCAACCATCAACGCCCTGAGCTGCCGCCCTCTGTAAGCTTATTTCTTCAAGCAGCAAAAACGCACGTTCAAATAGTTCAACCGTCACGTTTCCCCCAAACCCGACAGAGCGCAGGCGCGCGCCGCTCGAGCCACGGCACGGCGGCTTCGCTGCTGCCTTTTCCGTTGAGAACGGCCCTTGTTTTTTTCCTGGGGAAAAAAAGGTTTTTCTCACTGCACCAGGGTAACGACTCACGATCGGCAGAAAGGAGCTCGGTGCCTGCAGGCCCCGCTCCGCGCAGGTGAAAGCTGCGATGCCACGAGTCAGCGCACCAACTGTTTATTTTCCTTTTACACCTACTTTAAATAGAAGCTTTTGTTCTACTGAAACTATTAATCTGAGTCTTACCATGAGGCTTTTTTTTTTTTTTTTTTTTTATATATTTTAAACACTCTGAAGAAGCGAAAAAGAAAAAAATTGCCACGATGCTTTAAAGTCCAACTTTAAAGGGGGAAGCAAGGCGCAGCAGAAAGCGAACCCCAACCCAAACCAAAGAGTCCGGCTGGGGCGCAGGAACGGGAGCGACCGCGATCCAGCCTTCGCCGAGGCTGGAAACACGCAGGAAGAAGAAATTTGACATCATCAGCGATCTGATGTGGAGGATTCCAGCCGTCAGGTTTGGCTTTTCCGGCTACGCGACTTAAGCCGACGATAACATCTTTATTAGCCTCGCAATTCAAAGCCGAAAATCATCCCCCCCCCCCCCCCCGCCCCCAGTCCCAGGCAAACCCCGTCGCGGGACTCACCCCCGCGCGCGCGGCGCCGCCGCCGTGAGCCCATTTCACAGCTGGGTAAGCGGAGGCACGGCGGCAGGGCCGGGCCACGCTCTCCCCCCGGTGTAATCCTGGGAGGATCCGTCCCGTTACCGCGCTCTTTGCGTAAGCGACTCCCACGACACGGCGTCGGTGCAAAGACATTTCCCTTAAGCATGGGATTGTCGGAGATGCTCGAGCCGGTGAGTCACCGCCAGCCTCCTCGCCCACAAGGGAAGCATACGGAGTCCACGGGAACCTGTAATTAGCCGGACGAGAAACTCCCTTTCCTCCCGAGATTAAGACGGGCAAACTCTTAGACTTGTTTTTTAAGCTCGCGTACGGCCAAGCACAGCCCCAGCCCCAGCGGTCAGGCACAGATCTGCGTGCTAACACCCCTTCAAACAGCCACACACGACAAATAAATAATAAATAAATAAATAAGAAAGCAGCTTTTTTTTTTTTTTTTTTTTTTCACCCCCCCCCCGAAAGGCAAAAACCCTCAGCACGAGGACGAAGGCCGGCAGCGAAGCTCGCCCCGGTTCGAACGCAACACACGGGATCGCAAAGCCACACGGATTTCCAGGTCGCAATCCTCTTTGGTACGCAGCGGAGGAGAAGTAACCAGATTATAATTATTTGGCCCCAAATCACCGCAACGTGCGAGTCTTTTCGTAACACAGCGCCCACCGCCCCACCGTCCGTTCCAGTTTACTCCCACTTCGGGCGCTGGACGGAGCGACCCGCAGACCCCGGGGCTCACCCTCCCCTCCCCGGGGGGGGGGGGGGGGATTTAAACCGAGCCGAAATGATTCGGATCGACCTCACGGAGCCAAAACCCACCAAAAGCTGCGGGGCTGCGGGGCCGGTTCATCGGGCGGGAACGCGGGTGGGGGCCACGGTCGTCCGTGCCCCCCCCGGCCCTTCTTCCCCGGCCGAGGCGGCTGCAGCGAGAGCCCCAAACCCCCCCCCCCCCCCCCCAAACCCCCGGGGCCCAACCGGCACCGGGAGCCCAACCCTACCCGGGCGATACCCGGGTACCCGCGCCCCCCCCCCCCCCCCCCACCTCAGGCAGCGCCGTGACCCCAGCGGGACCCGCGGCCGCCGCCACCCCCAGGCCCGGCCCCGTTAAAAACTTTCCCGAAACCCGAGCTCGGCCCGCCGCCGGGGCAGCGGGCGGGCGTTACCTGTGCGCGGCTCCATGGCCCCGCGGCCCAGCACCGGAGCGGACCCGGCCGCGCTCCCGGCGGGGGGGGGTGCGGAGGGCGGCGGGGGGGGGGGGGGGAAGGAGGGAGGGGGGGCGGGAAGGGAGCCCGGAACGCCGCGCCGCCCCCGTTCCCGCCCGGAACGCTTTGGCGGGCGCACGCGGCCGCCCCGCCCCGCCCCGGGTAGCCCCGCCCTCCCCGCGGGCGGGGCCACTGCGCCTGCGCAGGAAGGAGGAGGTTGGGGGGGGAAGCGGGAGAGCGCCCTCTTGCGGCTGGGCGGGAGCGGCGCGAACCCCCCGCGTGGGGCGGTAACCCCGCTGTGGGGTCTGAACCCCCCTATGTGGGGCCTCTGGGGGACCTGTAACCCCCCCCCCATGGGGATTCAACCCCACTGCAGGGTCTGTGTGGGTTCTGTAACCCCTTGTGTGGGTCCTCTGTGGGGTCTGAACCCCTAGTGTGGGGCCTGTGAGGGGTCTTTATGCCCCTGCGTGGGGTCTGTAACACCCCCTGTGGGGTCTGAACCCCCTGCATGGGGGCTTTGTGGGGTCTGTCACCCCCCCTGTGGGGCCTCAACCCCAGTGTGGGGCCTGTGGGGGGTCTGTAACCCCTCCTGTGGGGTCTGTAACCCTGAGTGTGGGGCCTCAACCCCACTGTGGGGTCTGAACCCCCCGTGTGGGGCCTCTGGGGGGCCTGTAACCCCCCCTGTGGGGCTTGAACCCCCAGCATGGGGGCTGTGTGGGGCCTTTAACCCCTGGTTTGGGGCCTGAACCCCACTGTGGGGTCTGAACACCCAGCGTGGGGGCTGTGTGGGGTCTGTAATCCCCTGTGGGGTCTGTAACCCCCCCGTGCGGTCTGAACCCCCAGCGTGGGGGCTGTGTGGGGTCTGTAATCCCCTGTGGGGTCTGTAACCCCCCCGTGGGGTCTGAACCCCCAGCGTGGGGGCTGTGTGGGGCCTGAACCCCAGAATCCAGGAGGCCGAGGAGCAGGCGCCTGGTCCCGCCGGGAATTGCTCCCACCTCCAGGGAAAGCTGCAGGGGGGCCCCACCGTGCCCCCCACCCCCGGCACGCGGGAACACCGCCTCTCCCTCTGCCCCACGGCGTGGGGAGCGGGGGGGGGGGACACGATGCCGACGGCGCATCCACCCAGCTGAACACCCGGCATCCCCCGTGCCGTGGGTGCCGGCGGCCGAGGGGTGAAACACACTGAAAACGTGGCCCCTGGCGCTGCTGCTCGGGTCCCTTCCCCAAACCGGGGGGGTGAGGGACACACACACACACACAAACACACTCACACACACACGCGCGCGCGTGCCCACGCGTGTCCTCGCAAAACCAGACCCGAGGTTTCGCTGTGGGGTGACGCGTGACGCCGCCAGCTCCGCCGCGGGGTGTCGGGACATGCCGGGAAATCCCGGCGGAGCTCCTGCCGGCGTCTTTGCCGCCGTGGTCCGTCTCCCCCTCGGCCTTTCTGCCGTGTAAACGCGTTTTCCTCGGTGGGGAAAAGGCCCCGGGGGGGGGGGCTGGGGGCTGCTCGGGCCGGTGGCAAACCCCCCGGGCGGGAAGAACGGCGTGGGGCCCGTCATGCGGGAGCGTTCAGCTGATCCCGGCGCTGAATCGCGGCCTTTGTTCCCCGCCAGCAACCTAGCGTTGTTTATATCTCGCACAAAAGGATTGTTTATCATGTCAGGGGACGAGAAAAGTCCACTAAAGAAAGAACAGTCTGTGCCGTGGAGTCCTGGCCTCCCCGGAGCCTTTTTTTTCCCCTCCTCACTGCAGTGTTTGTTCAAAGCAGAGGCTTTCCGAGCGCCCCTGATTTCCAAGCGATCAATAGCGATGGCATGGCGAGCCGTCCCCGACGCCGGTGCGGGTGGGCTTCGTGTCACCCTCCTCCCCTGCTGCTCCCATCAGCTGTTTCTTTCCAGCTGCCTGGAGCGACTGGAAGGGGTCAGCAAGGCAGGCATGGTGTTAAATCTAAGTCAAACCTTGCCTCTTTTCTCCCAGTTCTAGTTTAAAACCCTTCCCACAGCTGGGAGAAATGGTTTGGTCAACGGATTTCCCCCTGAGGAGATGCACAGGGCCTCTGCACCCGTCATCGGTAACGCCGGTACTGCCCTTCCCTCCGAAACCTCGTGGTGGGCACGGCGACTGACGGTGATGGTGATGATGGTGATGATGATGATGGTGATGATGATGGTGACGGTGACAGCTGGCCCCCGCGACGCGGCCGCTCCCGGGCAGACCCACAGCCGTTCCGCAGCCCCCCCGCGCTCTCCTGGGCCTGGTTCTCGTCGGCGTTAGCAGTTTTATGAGTTCAGCCCAGGGGTTTTTCACGTCCTCAGCGTCCCTTCGAGCTGAGTTTTCACAAGATTTTGAGCTCCCCGGGCCTGGCACGCCGCTTCCCCCCTTCTCGAGGCCAGCCGGAGCAGTTTCCACGAGCGTTTGTGTCGCGTCGGCTCTGCCGCAGCTGTGAGGATCGATGCAGATGGGCGGCAGCTTCTCCTGGTTAGCGCCGGGGGGTTTGCAAAGCCCCGGGCCGGGCTCACGTCTCCGTGAGGGCTCGAGCAGAAGCTGGGCCTGAAGGAGAAGCTGCAAATGGATCGTGGAGATTCAAACAGCTCATTCAAGGGTGCTGACTGCGCACAGCTCCCCCTTTTCTCCGTCCGTATCCTCCAACCTCGTGCGGATGGGCAAGGGCTCTCTTCTTGCTCCCCCTGCTCTCCACTTTCCTCCGTGCAACCCGCCCGCCCCCGGGGTGCTGTTCCCGGTGTTGCGCCTCCAGGCGAGCGACCGTACGCTCCCGAGCGTCGGCCCCGATTTCATCCGGAGCTCGGCAACGTCGAGATCCCGGCACCGCGGTTCGGAGCCTGCGGGGAAGCAGCTTCGTCCCGGGATCCTGCGAGACGTCCAGCGATCGCAGTCACCCCCGTCGGCGGGTGCTCTGGCAGGTGAAACTTGGGAGTGCGGGATGGTTCTTAAAATCCGTCGTGGCACCTCGGGGGAGGAAACGGGGCGTGTCTGCACAGCGCGGGAGCGAGGGGAAGGGCTTTTTGGAGGAGAGGACGGGCAGCAGGCGTGGGGCTAACTTGTGACGCAGCCGAGGAGCCACCAGCTGAGCTACAAACGCTTTTCCAACCATTTTAGGGGCTGACTTAAGGGTGACGTTACTGCGGCGTTATCGCTCCGGCACCGCCCTTCGCAGGGACACTGACCGGGGCCCGTGTCTTAAAAACGCGGCGGAGGAGCCGGCCCTGGGTCTCAGCCCCTTCGCCGGGCTCAGAACCGAGGCTAAACTCCCCGCGCAGCGCCGGGACAGGGAGCAAACGACTCGGTAGTTCAGCTCCTGCTGCTCGCTGTGGTGCCACGCGGGGTCACATCCTGGCGCGACGCAAGCGGGGACGGCTCCGCTGAGCCACACGGAGTTTCCCCCACCCACAGCAGCTCCAGGGTCTGGGTATGGATTTTTTTTTTTAAATTTTTTTTTTTACTGTTTGGAGGAAAGCTTTCTCAGAACATCATCCTAGTTGGAAATCTCGCAGCAGCTCCTGTGCAAGTCGCTCCTCACACGCCGGACGAATAATAGCGTTTTGCACTTCCAAAGACTCTTCCATCTGAGGATTTGAGAGGACTTCACGTATGGAAATGCATTAATCCTTCCAGCAGCCCCCAGTTTTATTCCAGTCACTTAACAAATGGGGGAGGCAGCCCTCGCTTCTGGGAGGTCAGTGGGCTCGTGCGCGTTCCCGGGCAGCCAAAGGAGAGCAGGATTCCCGACATCCTGCCCTAACTGCCAATAGCAGAAGGTGAAAATCCTGATTTTTCCAAGTCTGGATTTTTCCAGGCTCCTGTTGATCCGCAGGGTCTGAGCGTCGCCACGTGTTTGTTCTTCTGGGGACGTGAGCGATGGATGGGAGATGGGAACTGGAGGGGGGACCGGTGTGATGGGGCGCCGTCAGGCCGGCCTCGGGGTGCTGGGTGTGGAGGGAGGCAGTGAAACGTGCCGGTGTGGACTTGGGGGTGCTCTCAAGTAAGAAGGGAAATAAAAAGAAGAGTGTTGAAGAAGAGAGAACCAGCTCCAGGAGGGAAGTCAAGAGGGAAGGCGTCAACCAACTCAGCTGAAAAAACCCCGTTTTCACTCAGTTTCTTTGTGATGCTTCAGTTTAGCTGGATCATTGTCAGAAACGGTGTGAGAGGGAGGATGGGACGTGGGATAAATGCGAGGGTGAGGCCGGGCTGGCGAGAGGCAGAGTCGGAGCTGCCAGCTGCAGTTCTGCGGAGGGAATCCACATCTGGCTCTGCTGGAGTAGGCACACCCCGGGGTATGACCTTTTCCTTGGAAAAGCCCAAAGGAGAAGCAAATCTGAGATATTTGTGGGTCTGTTGGGATACGTTTGGCTCCCTCGTGAACTGTTAAGTTTAATTTTGTAACAGCTGGGGTGGACTGTCTGGCTTTTAATGCTTTGGAAATTAAAAAAACATTGTAAAACCAATTAAAAACTCATAAAACCAGAGGTTAACTAAAGCCCCGGTCACACTTATCTCACTATATTGGATATTACTGTCCTTTCTGCGGCGAGTGAGATAAAATGTATGTTGATATGAGGTTACAGACTCGGTGGCACAGAAGCCAGCGCTCGTTTAACTTGCTGTAAAGCCCTGGGTGCCCCGGGACACATCACCCGAGGTTCAGCCTGGGTTTGCTCCCTCGGGGACACGGGCTAGCGTCCCGGCACAGCAAAGCCCCGCTGCGGCCAACCGAGGAGCCAATTTTCAGGCTGGCTGCTGAGCTGGAGCTACCCAACGCGCCTGCTCCGCTGCAGCAACCCTCCTCTCCTCCGGCGACGAGAACGGACCCAGAACTTCACACAACAGGCAAAACGTAGAGGTTTTTCCCTTTCTTCTGAAGCTTCGGGCGCCGGTCATCAGCAGGATTAATGCCCAGCCCAGCACGGGGCTGGCAGCCAGACTGCTGAAGCAGCCGTTAAACGCTCGTTGTCTTTACAGCGTCTGCAGCGTGACACACCGGCACCGTTCCGGCACTTGACATCACGGATACAAAGGAAGATTAAAGCGCGGTCTCGACCGAGTGCAATGACTCGCCTGGATTTGTGAGGGGACGGTAGGATAAATAAGAAGAGTTCCATAAAGAGGATCAGGGATTGGAGTGGAGGGGGGATAAAGACGGAGGAGCAGATGGCGAGCATCACCAAGACACTGAAGAAGTGAGGCGAGGCAGTCGCGAGCCCAGGACCGCTGTTGTCTGGGCTTTGTACAGAAATCATTTGACTAGTGAAGAAAAATATATGGCGAGGAAGCCCAGGGATTGGAGCCACAAAGTCTTTCCAGCTTAACTTGAGCTCAGCCGGTTAGCTCCGGACTGATTTGCGAAGACTTTTAAAGGCCTCAGCTAGCGGGGTTATGAAGGAGCTTTTCTTGCCTTAAAACTCACTTGACTTTTCCCCCAAAACCTCACAGAGTGGGCAATTAACTCAACATAATTGACATATATACGCAGTTTTCAAAAGAAAGTGGGTAGGGTTCTGGACCCAAAAGGACCTTTGCTTGTTTATTTGCCTTTTTTTTTTTTTTTTTTTTTTTTCCCCCTCGTCACTGTTAAAAGGAGAAGCACAATAAGATTATGAAAAAATAATGAGGTGAAGTAAACCATTCCACATAATGAAGTGTGCTCATTTTCCAAAGCCAACAGGAAACCACAAGACTTACTGTAGGACAGCTCAATAGATGCAGAAATTGTTCCCAAGGCAGTTAAATGGAGTTACTTGTATTTACTAATGAGAGATAATTGAGTAGGAAAAAAGACATGCCTACTCATGGTACGACAACTTTTTTTTTTTACTCCGTTAGAAAAGCAGAGGGTTAAATGGCAGCTGACAAGCAAAACTAATAAGAAAACAAACTAATTTTTGGCTTCACAGGCCTGAAACTCTTCAAAGATGGAAACTCATCCAAGCCTTATTTTACTTGCCAAGATCCTCTCTTTTTTATGTAGCACTTTTCCTCGGGAGACCCGAACGCTGTGGCAGAAGATGTCTCGGACACGAGCATCGTTTCAGAGCGTCCGAACTGGGGCACAGGAAAGGGTCGGGATTTTCCCAAGTCATCAGAAACCAGATGCAGAGCCAGGACCAGGAGTGGGATGCTGTAAATCTTCTTGCACACGGCAGAGAGATAGGTAAAGAAAATTGGTTTGTATTAATGAAAACCAGAGGAGGAAAAACATCACGAGACATACAGGCACAACTGTTTCTAAGCAACTACCCTATTTTCCAAAGTTTGCATGAGTTTCAGCTCCCTTCTGGCAGTGATCTGTTTTTCCTCTCCCCTCTAACTAACGTTATTACCCTTTTACTGACACAAGAGGAAGGTGATTTTGTTGCTGAACTGAAGATGTTAATTTATAGGAGCAAATGCCTAGTTCTTGGCATGTTTCCAGAGCCGGACTCATCACACCACGGGTTGATTTGGCCCCTGGATGCCACAACAACACGCTCATTGATGGGGCGCAACGGGGCTCGAGGGAAACGCTCGTGGTATTTCTTTGGTTGAAAGACTGCTGCTTTTAAGAAGTACGACGAGAGGCAACCGCTGAACCGATGTGCCGACGTACACAGACATTTCCATTTCCTCAGTACACGGAGGGGGGGTGACAAAGAGGTGTGAGCTGTCCGTGGCTGGGTGCCCGTAGCCGGTCCGGTCCCGCTGCGGCATCGCCGTCGGCTGCCGCCGCAGCTTTGCCCATGAACCAGTAATAGGATGTGCAGGAGGATCATCTCCTCTTCTGACTCGATACCTGAGGATGTGGCTCTCTGCAGTTCGGCTCTCTCCCACCAGCAGCAGAAAGATTTAGACCTGGAATAGGTCTAAACATCGGCTACCGGGTCCGCCAGGCACAAATGTCATTAGTGGGAAGCAGACGCTGACGTCAGAACGGCCGAGACATTTGGCTCCAAGGGGCACATCTGAATTTTTCTAACGCGGCGTGTCTGGTTTGCAACCGGTACCAAGAACGCAAAAAGCAGGGAGCAATTCCACGGTGCTGTTTGCATCAAGATGGTTTCCAGCCTCGATCTCTGGGATTTCATTTATGAGCTCGTGTTCAATTAGACGGTTCGAGCTGAGCAGTTGTGCACGAGCGTCACAATGAAAGTCACAGCTGAAGCCGTGCCTCTGTTTTAGAGTAGGAAGGAATAAAGGGAGCACAGTCTGATCCAGTAATGTTACTGGTTTGATAAAAGGTCAAATATAAAATAGCCCCTTGGAATATATTCCCTGTGGAGCGCAAGCCTCAGGAGTATCTCTGAGCGGGAGCAGCTCTTCTCACATCGATCCCCAGTTTTTGCTGTTTCATGGGACAGCTATTCAAATTTGGTAAAAGAACCAACATATCTGCTGGAGCAGAGAGAGTGAAAAATTATTTTCCTACCTTGAGAATGACGTAGAACCATTTTAAAGGTGCGAGCCAGGATGGGATGTGAATCAAAGGTTGCAGAGACGAGGACTTTTGTTACGTGGTAGCGTGTGATGTCCCAGGAGATGCAGACTGCCTCGGCCACCTTTCTCTTTGAAACGAGAAGAGGAAAATCAACTCCTTTTTAAATAGTCAAGATAAAATTTCATCTCTTAAAATAGACAGCACCATAACCCTGGGACAATCCTACTGACTAAACTTAGGTAGCAAAATCTGCACCCGAAGCTGTTATCATACTGTTTAAATAGTAATTGGACTAGAGTAATTACTAGGAAGTCTAACCAGAATTTTATTTATGCAAATATAATTTGAATGACTTCTTAAGGAAGATTTGAATTAGAGACACTGTCAAATGTTACATTGTCCAGCAACAAGTCCTGTTGACATTGAACTGCTCTTCCACTGTCCAAAGTTATTCTGTGGGAAAGGAGAATTGTAAAGATTGCCTCAAAATAAAAGTACAGTTCCTGTAAATGTCTTATCTGCAAATAATGGATAAATATCTTACAAATAAGACGGGCATTTTCACTCTCAGTAATTAATAAAATGAACACCGGAGCTATTTTTACCCTGGAATATATCTTGCCTGTTAGTTTTTATCACGTCCATTATTTGAAAATTTGTAAAACTGGTAGATTGGTACAAATCCACTGACGTCTATGTAGATGAAATGTAAGCACGAGCAAAACCCAGCCTGACAGCTGACAAACACTTTGCAGCATCCTCCTCAAAGCGACGGAGTCACCTGTGTCCCACACTGCCCTTTTGAGGTGGATAAAAGCCACGGTGGAAGGATTATTATGGGAATCGAGGAGTCAGAACTAAGAAACCTCAAGGGGCGTCCTGTCTGACAGGCTTGCCAGGAGAGCAAGGCAGAGTTTGGGCCTGTCCCCTAACACAAGAGCCTTTGACTTCTAGAAGCTGCAGATTTTATTGTGGTTTTATTGCGGTTCCCTTCTGTCTGCAGCTCCCAGAGCGCTTCACCCTTTGGTACAAATAAAATTGGTCAGCAGAATTTGAGGGCTGATTTGGAGGCCAACGCTGTGGTACGTTGGCAAAGCTTAGATGGGGGAAGGGGAAAATGAAAACAGATGAAAACTAAGTAGCATCTGACCACAATTTTCTGGATTCACATGAAGCAAAGGCATCTGAATTACTTGGGCCAGCGACTCTCCAAATATCCAGTTAAGTTTAGAAGGCAAATAAATAGACTATGCTAAAGATAAAATCTGCATCAGGAGCCATTTTATCTTTTGAAATAAATTAACTAGATCACTCTTCCAAAGCTTCGTGCTGCCAGGCTAGCGTACCTCTAATTTGTGTTCAGTATCGCTGTTTGTTTGTACTTTTCAAGAAGGTGCTCGGCTCCATCCATTATCATTATTATTTTATGCATTTGTGCTACTGGAGCTTGCGGGATGTTGGTGCCAGCCCAGCTGCTAGGCTCTGCACTAAGGCAGAACAAAAGTCCCTGACTCAAAGGTATTTTGAAGAGACATTAAAAATGCAATCCCTTATCCGGCAATTTAAAACCAGGCTCCAGCAGCAGAGGACAATTTACGATTGATTGTCTGTTTTTCTATGGTTGAATGTCTTGCAAGCATTAAACTTTATTTTCAGACGTGCCTCCTGCTACCTAAATTTAACTAGAAATCAGTCCCTGATGTCTCAACGTGAACAATCAAAATCATGAAGGAGATACCTTTTGATGTAATAATAGGTTTCAACAACAAAAACCCGAATTTGGGATTTTAAAAATCTATTTTACACGTTTGATGTGAACATAATTTACAGTCTACATAGCAAGACTTCTTTTTTAATAAACCCACGGCTTTGCTAGTGCTTTTTGTATGCATTCATTCTATTCTACATTACCTCAAGCTTTCTTCACCTGTCTGAGTTGCAGCAGTCCTGTAACAAAAGAATATTCCCCCCCCCCGTAATTACATTAATTTTGAATCGCTCTTCATAGTAGAATATTAATGTTAAAACAACAAAATAATTCCTGCGTTATACTTTAATTTGTAATTCATTTAGTCAAATCTACCGCTACAGAAAAATGGCAAAGGCACAAAAAGGCATTTGTATTCCTTTCAGGACAATTACAAAGATGTATTTAAGGAGGAGACAACACTCTGCACTTATTTAGTTGAAAAAAATCATCACTGACATCATTACAAAAGCATTTCCAAGGAAACTGGACAAATAATTAAATGCTAAGTACTTTCCAGATACTAAATCATTTAAAATCTAAACAAGGCCAGAAAACAATAGGATGCATTTAGCAATTTTTTATTCAGTTTGCAATTATTACACATATAAAGCAATGTCTTTTGCCATGAGTACCCCCACTAACTCCTGAAGTAAAGTGTCAGCCAATTTGAAGATGAGAAGTAAAATCAGGTGCCTGGAACAGTATTTTTCCTAGAGAAATCCTGAACCATCTAAACCACGCAAATCTTTTTTTGTATAAAGGTCTGTATGTATGCAAAACTTCCTGGCCTCTAACCGCTCTGCAGGAAGAAGACCCAAAGTATTTTGAACCGTGAAATTAAATTTAAAATGTGATCTCAGCTGGTAATCCAAGTGCTTAAAAGACAACAAACGTGTAGGTTACTTGATGAAGAAAAGGGGACTTGCTTAATTGGACGTGAAAGGGAGGATTTACTCATTTATCCATTCTTCTATAAATAGTGATCTGCCAGCGAGGGTGCGCTGGCTGTTCCGTGCGGCCCCTTTTTAGCTCTGGCCCTCCAGGAATAGCGCCTAATCCCAGCTGCTGTTCCCCCCCCTCAGCGGGACCAAAGGCTCTTCTGGGTGCTGGAGCGTTGCTGACCCAGAGCCGGTGTTCCTGAAGAGGAGCATTACCTCGTTTTCAGTAAAAGTAAGAAACATTCGTGTCCCTTGAACCTGGAAGGATGCTCCGCTGATTTACCGAGCACTCCCTGATACAAGCACAAATTAAAAACCCTGAGTGATTTTGGGTGGAAGGAACAGAAGGACTGGTGATAGACGATTGGGAGATGGGAACTGTGTGAAGAAAGGCGAGGGGGGAAAAGAGCTCTCGAAAGATGGGGTTTGCAAAAGTGTACGAATGGGTGATACAAAAAAAAGCTCTAACACCACCTTTAAATTTCCTAAATAGGAACATAATCCCTGTCAGTTCTTTCCCTGTAGTTGAAATGGATGAGAAACAGCGGGTTGTCTGCGAAAAAGGCGAAGTTCCTGTGCGCTAATATTAATGATGTGGGCGAAGGAGAGGGTGTGCAATACTCCCTTGTCTCCTTTACAGGCTGGTTTCAGCCCTCTGAGCCAGCACACCCTGGGCCAAAGCTTCCGTGGGTCTCCTGAGCCTGCCTGGCCAAAGCTCCCCGGCACCTCCCGCCGCTGCCAGCAGCCCAGGCTCAGCTCTCCGGGCCTAAGCCCACGTGGGAGGATCGTCCCGACAAGGGCCCTGACCTTCAAGACCATTTGCTGATATTTGTTGTTTTGGGTTTGGGTTTTTGGTTTTTTTTTTTTTTTTTTTCTCAGACCTCTCTCTCCCTCTGGCAAAACACATCAAGGTTTGGTGATGGGACTTGCACAAACGCGTTGCCCCACGCACCGCAGCGACGCGCGGAGCCGTCCCGGGCGTCTTAATCCTGTACATTTTCCCTCGGGCTGCCAAGGAGATCCCTTCATCCCAGCCACGTCCCGCGACCGACCCCATCTGCCATCCCCTCTCACTCGTTTTTCACTACAGCTGGTGAAAAGCAGCTGGAACGACACGCCTTGCGTGGCGCAGGAAAGGAGGCAGCGAGGCGCGGCCACCGCTCGCTCACGCCGCTGGTTTTAAATCCCCCTGCGCCTCCCGTGCCGCGGGATGCCCCGAGCCCCTGGGCGCGTCGTGGGCCCGGCCAACCTCAGATATTTCGGGGTGCTGCATGTGGCCCCTCAGCAACGTCCCCCCGCACAGGGCGGTTAGGACCAGTAAAGTTTAATTCTGCCGAGGAGGCTGCGGTCACCTCTCCTCCGCGCCGCAGGCGCCCTCTGCCTGAGTGCTGCAGGAATTAAAACCCGATTAAAATCAGGTTTAAAACGCTGCCGATCTTTTGTGGGTTTCCCCCGAAGTTGCATTTTGGGGCTATTTATGTTTCATCAGTTATTTAATCTAAGATGCTACAAGCTCCTTCAGTTCCAATCCTTTAATTAAAACTGATAACTAAGTGATACTGACACGCCATGCCAATGCTTTTCAATTTTTTTTTTTTTTTTTTAAATTTGCAAAAATGTTTTCCTAAAACACAACAAATGAAAATAAACATTTTACAACTCAAGTACTTTAAAAAAAGAAAAATGCATATGTAGCCACCAGTTTTGTGAAAACACCTTGGAATGCACCCAAAATTTCTGCTAGCTAGCAGGCAAATGAATCTCCTTAGCATCTATGAAAAGCTTGGTTTTTTACTTCATATTTTTTCTAAGCCATTCAGCTAAAAAACTAAGTTTCGAAAGTGATGATGTAATACATTATCTCATGTTGTTATTCCGAGAGGCGTTGGCAAAGCAAACATTTCCCATTGCTCACCTCCTCTGTTTGGTCTGTTTCCTTGGTGTTCTCTTATCTGCAAATTTAAAAATAGAAGCACAATCATTTCAGCAGTTCGAGTTACCTGCAGACCGCATGATTCACATCCAAATTAGAACTCTGACTGCAAAATATTTTTGTGATAATTTCTTCTAACCTAAATAACACTAGTCAGACTCCTAATACTATACAAATGTTTTCATTCTACATCACTTAGAGTGGCTACAAAGCAGACAGGATGTTGCTACAGCATGTAACGGAACAAATATAGAACAGTTTTACATAGAAAGAGGAACAGTCCTTATGACTACTTTCAGCTGTTCTTTCAGCAGTTAAAAATAACATACCTGGGCTGCCCAGATGCTTCAAATCTTTGTACTGTTCATTTTAGAAGCAATTGTAAAAAGCGAGATATTTTTTACAAGGGTTAGGAAGTCCACTTTGGAGTTTACACAGTCTTGCACTTCTCATCCCAGCAAGCGTTTCCCTGAGGCAGATGGAGCAGATAAGGTGCAGGTTTATAATCAGTTTCCCTTTGCTCCATTTTGGGTATTTTTGAACCATTTCTGACACTTGCCTAGTCCCTACACATGGCACAAACTCCAATCAGGTTTACAATTAATGTCTCTTGGGCTTCCTTCCCTGCCTCTGACTATTTTTCATGTCACAGCAGCAGCATGTAGAAAAACTGGATGTTTTAGAGGAATTTAATATCATTAAAATGATCTCAGAATTTCTTTAAAATAGTGACACATTTACCCAGAAATTGGTACTGCTTAAGTAGTTGGATGTCTCGCCAGAAAGTCTCTCAATCTCACTTTGAAAACAAAGCAAAATGCAAACAGATGTGTTGCGTGCCAGAATGATTCTCAGGTACCAAGCTGATAAAGACATCAATTTGACACAGGCCTTTAGCCACCAGAAATTGGAAAGATTTATTAATCAAGGGTGAAATTCACTCTGCCCTTCTAAACCACAAAGCCACGTTAGTTTAGCACAGCCGTGTATCACTGTAACCCAAAGGAGGATAATTCTCATCTGTACTTTTCCTATTCTTCTTGCCTAATGCCCAACCTGGAAAGAAAAAGGAATGATGCGCAATTTTTGCTACCCAAACTAAAAGACAAAGCTCTGTTTACCAAACTCACAGTAAAACTCAGTATTATTTTCCAACCAGGTGGGTTAGAAAGATGGGTACAAATTATTCCACCGATATCTCATAAACTTTTTTTCCATTCTGGCGGGTTTGGCTATGAATGATTTATGGGCCCGGCTCTGGCAAGTGCCATATGCAGAGGTAGTCACTGCAGAACAAAGGCCTAAGACACAGCCTTGCCCCACAGATTTCTGCACAAATTCCAAATGACTTAAAGGGAGGCTTCAATACTTCTCCAAATAAGAATGTTTACTAGGTAAGAATTTAAGTAATCTACATTTTGATCCCACCTAGCTTGTTTTATTAGCAGAATTTCCTGTTGGAAAATGCTTAGGTGCACTGCAGATAATATATTTTTTGTTTTATATTGCAGTCTTGTGTTCTGAGGAAGAGAAACCAGAATGAAATAGCCATGAGCACAAATATAGAAATACTAACAGCAAAGTCTCTGTATACTAGAGAAACCAAAGGTGTTAAAATAATGCGCGTGATTATTCCGTGAGCAACTACAAAAAGATGTCATACAACAAACTGCCTACACATTTAAATAAAAATGTAAAACGTACCTCGTTTTTAGCTTCCTATTTTCTGTCCTCAAAGCATCAATTTCCTGGACCTGGGATAGGAAAAAAACATTGTGATTTGAACATTAAGATCAGTATCAACTTCATACATCCTTAACGTCAGCTTTCTTTAAGGCTGATTAAGCCTCTTGGATTTTAAAATACCTATGACTTTGCCTTTTAGTCTTTATGTTGCCTGCTGTTCTGAATTACAGAAGGAAATCCATGCCAAACCGATACAATCTCGTAAAGTTAATAAACATTCTGCTTGCACTGACTTTATTTCTGCTATTGCAATGTTTATGGCTTTCCCAATGCAAGCGAGAATACAAAAATATCTGATCATTTCAGGGTTGAGAGTGTTTTTTTTCTTCAAATGATAATAAATGCTGAAGTGTACTAGCTACCTGATGGCAGAAACGACAGCAGCTAAGAGATGTTTGCTTATACATGATGTGTATGTTGCGGAGGGTCAGTGTTATACTCACTAAACCACACTGGCAAACAAACTACAATCAAATCCAAATGCCTTGAGTTACTCTGCGTGCTCAGGTGAAAGGGAAGGGAGACTGTTGCCTCCTGTATTATTTTGGAGGCACGGCTGCATTTTTCCTCCATCCAAGCCAAGTTTATGGGAATAGTGAAAAGACACTCAGACACCTGCTTTTCTTGATACCAAGCAAAAGGATTGCTCTCCCTTTTGTTTCGAATTTTTTACTGTTATTTATAATCATGAGACAACTTTGGCAAACGAAGTCTGGTCTTAACCTTAACATGGTACTGCTTCAGCATCCATCTTTATAGCAATTGTATGTATTTAAAAGCCAAACTTTATCAGCTCATGCCATCGGGATATTTCTCAGCACAACTGCTTTTTGTGTACAGTAGCTGGGATTTCAAAATCTCCTCCCATTTACTCACTGGAAAGGTAAAAGACTGCGGCTTGTAAGGAGACAAAAGATCAGTTACATTCAGCTTAATGTAGCCAGGGAAAGTACGACACTTCTGAACAACTCCGTTACACTGTGGTACAGACAAACTTCAATTGTCTGCGTATCGCTAATGTATTGTGAATGTCTCCAAGGATGCTTTCATAAATATTACTCGCAGACTGGCTCCTGTCTAAAAAGGAAAAGATTTCACGGACAAGCCTCCTTCTCCGATATTTATTTTTCCTATAAAATACAAAAATTTTAAGCTATATCCCTATTTCTGTAATGTATTTTGATGTATATTAAATGTAAATCAAGCAGAACAAAAGATGAACTATAAGCATGGAAGAGTTCCTTTGTGTCAGCTTTTATGAAAAGTTACTTACAAGATTTGCAAATAGCTTTCATTTTTCACCAACACCTGCTCACCATTTTCTGTATAAAACATGCACGTTAGATGATTACATTTTTATGAACATAATAGCCCTTTTCCAAAATTGTCACACTCAGGAAAAATAATAGCAGAGGAAGAAATAGCGCAGAGACCCGCTCTTTTAAAGGTTAGCAAAATAGAGATCAGCTCCAGTCACGCCAGTTATCCCATGAAGGTCAACGCTGCGCTCCCCAGCCCCAAGATGAAGAGCGTCCTCCCCTCCCTCTGTCTGCCCCCCAAAACCCTGGTACCACTATGGATCTTTTTAAGGCATACATTATTACAAATTTTCTTGGCTTTTGGAAGCCAAGCTGGCTGGCTGGAATTGAGCACGGACTTCCAAAATCTGTCGAGATGAATGAAAGTTAGGCAGGGGTGCTGTGTCCCGCAGGCAAGCCTCGGCACACCGGCCACCAGCTTCCCCTCACCCAGGCCTAGACCTTCCCAGAACTGGTCCCAGCTCGCTTGGTGGGTTATAATGGTGAAAAATTCCTGGTCAGAAAGGATTGCCCGCATGACTTTGTTATGCGCAGTATGGAAATGGAATTGTAATGCATTTTTTTACCTTGCTGGAAAACAAGACGGACAGCAAAGTGCTGAAGGGAGGGATCAACCTTCTTCTTCAAGTACAGACATGGCGGGAAGGTGCCTGGTAGTGGGGAGAGAGGCTGGTTTAGTGCCCATTTGAGGGAAAAAAAGGCCAGTTTAGGGCCCATTTGAGGGAAAAAAAGGCCAGTTTAGTGCCCATTTGAGGGAAAAGAGGCCGGTTTAGTGCCCGTTTGTGGGAAAAGAGGCCGGTTTAGTGCCCATTTGAGGGAAAAAAGGCCAGTTTAGTGACCATTTGAGGGAAAAAAGGCCAGTTTAGTGCCCGTTTGTGGGAAAAGAGGCCAGTTTTGTGCCCATTTGAGGGAAAAGAGGCCGGTTTAGTGCCCATTTGAGGGAAAAAAGGCCAGTTTAGTGCCCATTTGAGGGAAAAAAGGCCGGTTTAGTGCCCATCTGAGGGAAAAAAGGCCAGTTTAGTGCCCATTTGAGGGAAAAAAGGCCGGTTTAGTGCCCATCTGAGGGAAAAAAGGCCAGTTTAGTGCCCATTTGAGGGAAAAGAGGCCAGTTTAGTGCCCGTTTTTGGGAAAGAGGCCAGTTTTGTGCCCGTTTGAGGGAAAAGAGGCCGGTTTCGTGCCCGTTTGAGGGAAGAGGCCGGTTTAGTGCCCGTTTGAGGGAAAAGAGGCCGGTTTAATGCCCGTTTGAGGGAAAAGAGGCCGGTTTAGTGCCTGTTTGAGGGGAAAGAGGCGAGTTTAGTCTCAAACTGCTCTTACCCTCCCAGGACACTTCCACTTCTCTTCCTCCGCTCGGGCCCCCCTCAGGCCCCTGGCGAGAGCTGGGGAGAGCTGGGGGGAGGGTTGTAAGGGGGTGCAGGGGGTGGGTGCAGGGCTTCCCGGGGGGCATCGGGGTCCGTGCCCGGCTCACGGCCCCGCGCCCCACAACTCCCCACAGCCTGTGGGGCCGCGGGCGGGGCGGTGGGCGGGGCTGGGCTCCTCGGCGGAGTGGTGGGGCGGGCCTCTCCGCGAGGCACGCTGGGAGTTGTAGTCCGGCACCGCGCCCCGCCCGTCCGGCCCCGTCCGCTGGCGGACTACAGTTCCCAGCGTGCCCCGCGGCGGCGGAGCGGAGCCGGGTCGAGCTGAGGGGAGCGGAGCTGAGGCGAGATGAACGCGGTGCTGGCGGTCAAGCAGTATGTGTCCAAGATGATCGAGGACAGCGGGCCGGGCATGAAGGTGCTGCTGATGGACCGGGAGACGGTGAGCGGCCGGGCCGGGCCGGGCCGGGCCGGGCCGGGCCGGGCCGGGCCGGGCCGGGTCGGGGCGGGGGCCTCTGCTGGGGTGCGGAGCGGCGGGGCCTTAGGCCCGAGGCCCGGGGTGATGGGCGCTGCCGCTTCCCCCCCCCCCCCCCCCGCAGACCGGCATCGTCAGCATGGTGTACACGCAGTCGGAGATCCTGCAGAAGGAGGTGTACCTCTTCGAGCGCCTCGACTCCGTGAACAGGGAGGCCATGAAGCACCTGAAGGCCATTTGCTTCCTGCGGCCCACCAAGGTAGAGCCAGCGCTGCCCCTCACCGCGGCCTCGGGGCTGCCCTGCCCGGCCCTTCCCGCCACCGACACCCCCAGGCGTTGGGGTGCATCAGAGCGAGGGACGGCGGTGGGGATGGGGAGGGGGCAATGGCTCCAGCCCCTTTTTACGTGACATTTTAAAAATCTTTCTCTTCCCGGTGCTGTTTTCGTCCAGGAGAACGTGGAGTTCCTCATTCAGGAGCTGCGGAGGCCGAAGTACAGCATCTATTTTATTTGTAAGTATGTCCCGTTCTGTCCAGTGAGTCAGACTTGTCAGCCAGAGACCGATTTGATGTTCAGTAGAAAATACAGGTGTGAGACACTGTGACTGCTTCCACTGACAGGCCTTCACTAAATGTTAAGAATGTGTGATTTCTAGTTTTTATGGTGTTTAAGTCACCAGATTCTTTATAGCAAAGGGTACCCATAAAATAAAATAATTAAATCGAAGCAACTCATAAGAGATCATTACAAAGCAACACCATAAATCTGCATTCCTTCAATTTGGCTTATCGCTGAAAATTTCTGGGTTTTTAAAGCTTTGTGTTTCTTTGTAAACACGAAAGAAGGCTAATGCTGGAGGTGAGCTTCCTGTATTATAAGGAAAATTGAGGTGCACAGGATGAGAGACTGCCTAAATCTTGAAGGTCGATCATTTAGGATAGATTTCACATCCCAGTGTTGGACTAGAGCTGCTGCACGGCTCCTTCTAGTGCCCGGCGTATCGGGCAGGTGTTTCTCGTGTCCTGCTCATGCCACAGAATATTCTGTAGTTTTGGAAAATTAGGCAGAACAACTACAGCTGGTTTTGTGTTGAAGTCTAGTCTTCCAGCACAGGTGTCGCTTGGTGAGATTCTGGGAAACGAAGCTGAAGTGGCCTCTAGATGTCATTGCCGCTCTGCAGAAATGCAGCGATGCCGAGGAGCCGGGCTCCGGGCTGCCAGGGGGGACCCCACTTTGGGGAGGGTGGGGGGTGACCTGCGATGCCCAGGAGCCCCAGCGAGATGTGGCTCTCTCTCTCTTCAGCCATTTAACATGACTTGTGTTTTACACATATAAATCTACTGACTGCGAGCGGGCTGTACATGGTGGTGATTAATTGGGAGGATGTCAGGCCAGGGAGGGGGTGAGACCGGGCGTTGAATCCATCGTTGGCCGTGACGTGCTGAGCCAGCGCTGCAGGCACGTGCAGGAGATTGGCACTAGGAGCAGAAAGTTGGCCAAGGAATTAGCTCAGAGTGTCTGTGTGAGGTAACTTCTGGCTTATAATGTCTGCGTAATAATTGCAGGTGTAAGGTCAAGGGATCTCTGCTGTAATCAGCTCCTGCTCCCCGGGGAAAGTCTGCTCACCCTGTTCTGTGGTGGTCTTGTGTGTCACTCGCAGAGCCTGACCCTGCTTTCGCTGTTGTTTTCTTTCAGATTTCAGTAACGTGATCAGTAAGAGCGATGTCAAGTCATTGGCTGAGGCTGATGAACAGGAAGTTGTGGCTGAAGTTCAGGTGAATTTTAAATACTTTAAATAGATCTAAAAGTACCCGCAAAGCCAGCATGCAAGCTAACAATCCTAGGTGTGGTGATGAGAGGACGCTGTAGTTCTTGAACAGCATGCAGCAGCACTTCTCGGATGGAAGAAATGATGAATGATAAAAAGTAAAAGAAAGAAAAACTGTGTCCCCCATTTCTCCCTGCCCTCCAGTTGTCAGAGCTGTTGCTGGTTCTGCTGCGTCTGTGTTTCCCAAGGCTGCTCCCCGTTTGGTGGTGACAAAGAGCTAGGTACTCGAAAAACACGCACGAGAAATTGGCAGCGGAGTTGTCAGCAGCAGCGTAGGGATTTGAGAGGTCCGGCACGGGGGAAGGAGAAATGATCAGAGTCCCCGAGTCTGTGCATTGCTCAGGATTTTAGCGTTAATGTGGCTGATGCTGGAACGTGTACTCTTGCAGGCTGAATAAGGGTTGGCAAGACACGTAACTCTGTTTGCTTTCACTTGTTGGCAGGAGTTCTACGGCGATTACATTGCAGTGAATCCACACGTTTTTTCTCTCAACCTCTTGGGCTGCTGCCAGGTATGAAAGAAGCTAATGCTCCTCCGGGGCCTTGTTTTATGGTTAATAGAGAGCCCAGTAGCCACGACAAGCCGGGTGCGGTGGGGGGTTGCCCAGCAGGCAGACTGCTGCTGAGGGTCCGTAAGGCTGATCCTCACGGGGAGCTGGCAAGGAGAGGGGCACTGGGGAATCCGGACTGTAGCTTCAGTCAAACTGTTGTTCGCTGTAAGACTTGAAAGCTTAGAAATAAAACTTTGTGGGAGAAAGACTGGGGACGGTGCATCCAGACTAGATGCAGCCTTTCCTTCCAGGGTCGCAGCTGGGATCCGGCTCAGCTGTCCAGGACAACCCAGGGGCTGACTGCTCTGCTTTTGTCTCTGAAGAAATGCCCCATGATTCGGTACCAGCTCTCTTCTGAGTCGGCGAAGAGGCTTGCTGAGTGTGTGAAGGTGTGGTGAGAACCTACAGCGATGTTCAATAAGTTTGGCAACGTACTTAAATTTGGGTTATTTTTTTTACGTACTGACGCATTTGAGAGAAATACCCTTTTTCAGTCGATTCATATAAAATCTGTTGTTTACTTTGTTGCACGGCTTTGGGCAGGTCACACCCCTCGTCTCTGCCTGGCCCCTGTTTTCTGTGAGTGCCATAAACTGCAGTAGGTCGGCCAGTGCCTTTTGAGAGCAGGGATTATGTCCTCGTTAGCAGTATAGACTAAGCAGCACAACTTATTTTTCACCAGCTCTTCACTTTTTGTTCACCTGTAGCCAAACTAAGAGGAAACATTTTCTGGGTTTACATAAAATCAGGTGGCTTTTTTTCCTTTTCTCGACAGCAAGTAATCACTAAAGAGTATGAGCTGTTTGACTTTCGGCGCACTGAGGTCCCTCCTTTACTTCTCATTCTGGACCGGTCTGACGATGCCATCACCCCACTTCTGAACCAGGTGAATCATCTCGCGGTTGCGCAAGGGCCTGTTCACACAGAGTTCACACCCTGGCAGGCCATGGGTTATATTTGAAAGGTAAAAAGTCTCGCTTCCTGCCCCCATTCTTTTTGTAATCCCTCTTTTATCTCGTGGCCTGAGGTTTCAGCAGTTGAGCACGGATTGTGCGTGCTGGCTGCAGTGGCAGGCGCAGCCAGCACCCTGGGTACCCGGGCCGCTCGCACTTCTGGGAGACCCGCTTCACATCTGGCGGCCTCGTGTCTTGGCAGGGTCCTCTCCAGGGCTTGGTTTGTGGGGGCAGGCTGGCAGCCCACGTACGCACCTACGGAGTGACCTTGCACTGGTGTGTTTCTCCTTCTGTGTTAGTGGTGGCTGGGAGTATTTACTACGTAGCTATTGTGATTTTTTTAACTTTTTTTTTAATTTGCTGAGCTGTAGATTCAGGCAGACTGTCTCATTTCTGTGGGGTACGCTTTGACACAGGTCAGTCTGGGGCTCAGGCAAGGGCTGGAGCTGCAGCTGGGCTTCTGTAACCTGGGTGGTGTAGGAGCCACTGGTGGTACTGGTATTTCTGGAGTGATCTGACAGTCAGAAACCCAGCTCACACACGGTTTGTAGGTTAAGGACTGCACTCAGCACAGGGCACCAGAAGCGTTACTCGCTATGCGGAGATTTTCTGTCCAGAAGAGAGATTCACATGAATGTAAATGGAGTGTCGGGCATGTCAGTGCTCTGATCAGCTTTCAGTTCTCTAGATTAATATTAGTCTTCCCAGGATAAATACAGTAGCTCGCTGATGTGCAGAAACACACACTCCTACTGCTGCCTAAGAACCAAAGCAGCATTTGGAAATTGTACAGTTTGTAACTGCAGAACCTCTGCAGCCAAAAATACATGTCCCTTTCCAGGCAGAGGAGGAGGAGGTAAAGGTGGCAAACAAAAATGTCTGAACAGGAATATTAATCTCCATTGCTCTGCTTTTGGAGTCATGTCTTTTGAATGTACCTACAGAAAGCACCCAGGGACAGGGCGCCAGCACCTCTCACCATGAGGCACCCGTCTGATCATAACAGATGTAGTATTTATTTCTTATTGTAACATTCTGGAAACAGTCTGAGAAAGGCACACTTTGAATCTGCTTTCTGTTGCTAGCGCAATATAAACTGGCTTTGTTTTTGTTCAGCCTGAAATCCATTATTTTTCCAGTGCTGTTTATTATCTTACTAAGGTCATTGTTTGCCTTTCTGTTTCACTGTCCTTGCTAGTGGACGTACCAAGCTATGGTTCACGAGCTGCTGGGGATTAACAACAACCGCATCGACCTCTCTCGGGTACCAGGGATAAGCAAGGATCTCCGGGAGGTCGTTCTGTCTGCCGAGAACGACGAGTTCTACGCCAATGTAGGTATCTTGGTGGGGCTGTTCATGAGTAGTTGAATTGGGGGATCAGAGAATCACAGACTGGTTTGGATGGAAGGGACATTAAATACCCCCCAGTGGCACCCCCTGCCCCGGGCAGGGCCCCCTTCCCCCAGCCCAGGGGGCTCCCAGCCCCGTCCAACCTGGCCTTGAAACCTTCCAGGGAGGGGGCACCCACAGCTGCTCTGGGCACCCTGGGCCAGCGCCTCACCCCCCGCACAGGGAACAATTTCTGCCTCAGATCTCATTTAAATCTGCCCTCTGGCAGTTTAAAACCATCACCCCTCATCCTACCCCCACCCCCTGACCCAGAGTCCCTCCCCACCTTCCCTGTCCCCCCTTTAAGCCCTGGGAGGCCGCTCGAAGGTCTCCCCGGAGCCTTCTCTTACCCAGGCTGAACCCCCCCAACTCTCTCAGCCCGGCCCCCCAGGGGAGCTGCTCCAGCCCCCCCAGCATCTCCGTGGCCTCCTCTGGCCCCGCTCGAGCAGCTCCCGGTCCTTCTGCTGTTGGGGGCCCCCGAGCTGGCCCCAGCACTGCAGGGGGGTCTCCCCAGAGCGGAGCAGAGGGGGAGAATCCCCTCCCTGGCCCTGCTGCCCCCCCTGCTCTGGCTGCAGCCCAGGGCATGGGTGGGTTCTGGGCTGCCAGCACATGGTGCTCCCTCACAGGGGCAGTTTTCCCCCCACCAACCCCCCAGTCCCTCTCCTTGGGGCTGCTCTCCAGCCGCTCCTCGAGGGCCCAGCCTGGGTTTGTGCTGGGGATCACCCCGACCCATGGGCAGGACCTTGCCCTCAGCCTTGCTGAACTTCAGGTTCCATTCTTGGTTTTGCCATGTGAAAGGAACTTTCCACTGACTTTGCCCATTGAGGTGGTGATGTACTGTATAGCTCTTGCAAGTGGTGAAAAGCAATGTGTAATGCAGGTAGCATCTGACAGGAAGTAATGCGACCACTTCATAGTTTTATTTCAAACCCAGAGCAGTGGCAGAGCTGCTTGCTCAAGCTTGGGTCTCAGGGAGACGATGGCAATGGCATTTCAGTGTTTTGGACACAGTGACACGTTGCTCCAGTTGCATCAAGACTCGTGTGTTAGAACAACTTTCTCTCAGATCCCTGTCTTGTTCCGTGCAGAACATGTACCTGAACTTCGCAGAGATTGGCAGTAACATCAAGAATCTTATGGAGGATTTCCAGAGGAGGAAACCTAAGGAGCAGCAGAAGCTGGAATCCATAGCAGATATGAAGGTACAGACAATCTGCACATAACTGACAGGAGTTTTTAAAACCCATCTGTGGCGGGACAGTGTGGATCACCACTGCCTGTGCACTGACAGTCCACGCTGCTGGTACCAGCAGTTCAGCTCTCTGTGGCGTGCTGGGTTGTGCAGTGGTCACCTCCTTTGTGCCCTGTGGTCATTGCAATGGTTCTTTACTGAAAGCTAGACACTTGGACAGGCCGTTCTGCACCACTGCAGTGTGGTCCACGAGCTTGCTTGTTCCAACTGCTCCCTGAGCTGCTGCTCAGAGCTTGTTGGAATCCTGAAGCACTACAGTTGAATTGGTAAGCTCTGGTTTAAGTGTAGAATCACAGACTGGTTTGGGTTGGAAGGGACCTTAAAGATCATCTAGTTCCAACCCCCCCTGCCCCGGGCAGGGCCCCCTTCCCCCAGCCCAGGGGGCTCCCAGCCCCGTCCAACCTGGCCTTGAACCCTTCCAGGGAGGGGGCACCCACAGCTGCTCTGGGCACCCTGGGCCAGCGCCTCCCCCCCCGCATAGGGAAGGATTTCTGCCTTAATCTCACCTAAATCTCCCCTCTGTCAGTTTAAACCCGTCCCCCCTCGTCCCATCCCCACCCCCTGACCCAGAGTCCCTCCCCACCTTCCCTGTCCCCCCTTTAAGCCCTGGGAGGCCACTCTCAGGGTCCCCCCGGAGCCTTCTCTTCTCCAGGCTGAACCCCCCCAACTCTCTCAGCCCGGCCCCCCAGGGGAGCTGCTCCAGCCCCACCAGCATCTTCGTGGTCTCCTCTGGCCCCGCTCGAGCAGCTCCGTGTCCTTCTGCTGTTGGGGGCCCCCGAGCTGGCCCCAGCACTGCAGGGGGGTCTCCCCAGAGCGGAGCAGAGGGGGAGAATCCCCTCCCTGGCCCTGCTGCCCCCCCTGCTCTGGCTGCCCCCCCTTGCCCTTGCCCTTGCTGAACCCCATGAGGTTTGCTCGGTCCCCCCTCTCCAGCCTGCCCGGGTCCCTCGGGGTGACATCCCTGCCCTTAGTGTGTCCCCCACCACGCAGCTCGGTGTCATGGGGGCACTTGCTGAGGGTGCTCGCAGTCCCAGTATGACTGTGGGCTTTATATCTGAGCTGGGTCACCTGACAGCAGCTCAGAGCACAGGCTCTTCATGCAGTCACTGCTCAAGACTTAAAGAATCCTGGTGATGTCTTTGGAGATACTTTCTGCATCCTTTTATTTTTAAGCTTGAATAAAAAGTACATCCCTTCCAAAAGTCTCCTGGTAATCGGAGAAATCCCAGGGGCTCGCGGGTTGAGGTGCCCGATCATCCCTACTCCCGCACTGATCTTGCTTATATTGATGCCAATTAATTTGTAGAGTTGATCGCTGGGTTGCACGCATTCTCTGCCTCTTGCTTTTCTTTTGAAGAACCGATTGCTTTGGTTTCCTCGTTGCAGGCGTTTGTGGAGAATTACCCGCAGTTCAAGAAGATGTCGGGCACGGTGTCGAAGCATGTGACGGTAGTGGGAGAGCTCTCTCGACTGGTTGGTGAGCGGAACCTGCTCGAGGTCTCTGAAGTGGAGCAGGAACTGGCCTGCCAGAATGACCACTCCAACGCTCTCCAGGTACCCCGGGCTCCAAACCTCACCTTGGTCCTTTGAATCTCGCTGGTTTGCTCCCGTAACCGCCCTGTTGATGGAAGTTTGATACTGAAAGTCAGTGGGATTGCAGATATCCTGCAGGGTTGGGACATTAGATTTTAGAATTACTCTTCTCCTCCCTGTTCAGTTCAGATGGGGATGAATCATAGTTAATAACTGGCTTGAGAGGCATCTTTGCAAATTCTGTCTTTACATTTCACAATACAACATTCCTTCATTATATGCAGTCAGTTGGCTTCTGGCAGGCTGCCTGTGCAGGCACCAGTCAAACAACCCAAAGAACTCAGACCTCTGTGCAGAAGCTTGTTGTAGTTGTTGGGGAGGAAAGTGGAATCCATGAAATTGTCTAACACCAAACCAGATTATTGTTGAGGTGCTGGCTTTCACCTTTTTTTTTTTTTTTTTAAAAAAAAAACCAACAACAAAAAAAACCCCAAAACAGTGGAAAGCCTCTTAGATAAAAGATTTCTTTGGCAAAGCGGACTGAAAAAGCCTAACAGAGACTTCTGTTATAGCTGAATATAGACTGAAATTTTGACCCCATGCTGGCTTGTTGGATTCCATGACCTGACCTAGTATCTGACAGTATGTCAATAGTGATGAACTGTGGCTGCTGACTATTCAGAGAAAATAGCAGTATTGTTGAGTGTGACTGTATTCTAGCAGAGTTCAACCAGCAACTCGGTATTAAAAAACAATTCCTTAATTTTTTTATAGCCAAGGCAGAAGTTCCACCATATAGTGGACTCCTTTACACAATACCGGAGAGGCAGTTTGCCTAGAAAATAAAGATAAGCATCTTCAACTGATTTGAAATGGATGTCTTCTTTGCCTGTTATTCTGTGCTCCAAGTGGGTGGCTAGGGGATAATATTAGACTCTTCAAGTGCTGTAATCCATTACAGATCCCGAGCTGATGTGAATCAGTATAGGCCTGCTGAAGTCATTGCAGCTATATAGATTGGCGAGCATATAGATATGATTTCATAGCTTATATTTGGTAGAATTTAGATGACTAAGTATTGAAGTGGGAATGTAGCCATAAAATGCAGTGGCTGAAAACAGCCTCTGAGGTTGTCTTGCTATGTCATTGTTTCCAGATCAAGCTTTTGCAGTTTAAAAGACAAATATTTGAGTTCTAACCCATCAGCCCTCCGTGCCTGTGCTCCGAGCTGTTATTTCTGATGTTAACACAGCCCAGAGCATTAGTGTTGAAACTTGGATGCTTGGCACCGGAGAACATTTTGGAAAATGTTGGTCTCCTCTTTATTAAGTTATCTCAGATTTGCTGAAGAAAGGGATGATGTGAACTTCTGGTGATGATGCCGTTGCCTCACCAGCTGTATGGATAAGAGAGTTCGTGGCAGCACTGGAAACTGGGCAGGGAGGCAGGCGGGTCTGCCCCCCGCCCAGCACCGCCCTGGGCAGCTACTGGAGTTCACCTTGGAGCTAATTCAGGTCTCACTCTGCACCAACTAGGTATTTCTGCAGTTTTTAAAGCAGAAAAGCTGCCTGCAGTTTGCTTACAGCCACATGCCCAAAGGGCTCTATTGTATTTATATCAACTGAGACCGACTGGAAAACATGTAGCAGCTAGGAAATAAATGCAAAACTGTGGAACTGGTATCTTCTACATGAGAGATCAGTGTCTCTGTAGCTGCACTGCCCCAGGCCGGTCCCTGTTGCAATCTCCGAATGGCAGCGAAGGGCCAAGGCTGCAGAAACAATGAAGAATAAGCCAGTGCGTGAAATAAAGGCAGAATTGTTCTCCCTCTGCTGTAACTTCAGTGACTGTTAATTTCTCTGGTGGCCCAGGGCCCCCGAGTACAGCACATTTTGGTTATTCTTCCCCTGGTCTCTTATTAATCCTGACATAGTACATGAGCCTTCAGAGATGAATGGGAGGTTTTGAATCCCATCTCCTGAGACGGACAATAGCTTTTCTGTTTTGCACGCTGCCCGCTTACACAGGCATTGCCACTGTGCTGCCAGGCCAGGACCAGAAATCTTGCAAGTAGACATCTCCGCGCGACTGTCCCTGCCCTCACAGGTGAATTCCTGACCCTACTGAGGTTAATGGTAAAACTCCTGTTGATCGTCCTCAAAGCCAGGATTTTATTCTGTATTTTTGTACCTGGTCTGCAACAGTCAAACAGATGACAGCAAATATAGCTGAGTCAGCGTGGTAAATAACAGCAGCTTCACTACATGTTTGGCAGCTGTTTGCTGACTGGTTCCATGTTGCCTACCTGTACTGGGAGGGTGGGAGAATCTTGCGAAGATTTGCTGGGATTTTTGGAGCGTTTGAAGGTCATGGACGTTTACAGAGTGGAAAAAAAATCCCAGCTGGTTCTGTCCCTCTCTTGGAACTGCCATTTCTGCAACTGTAAAACTGGCGGCTCCTCTGCTCCCATGCATTTGAGCTAATAGAGGCTGATTGTTTTGCTTTAATGTTCAGCACAGGGAGAATTTCAGACTTTGCTGTCTCCTAATGCATCTGTCCAGCCCTAACCAGATGTCTGCAAACACATCTGGTAGTTGATGCCTGTTCTTGGAGACCCATTGCAAAGCTCGGAGTTAAGAAGCTTATTACTCCCACTGCTCACCTAAGCTACCAGCTTGGCTCTGGTGTTTGTTCTGTTAACTCCATTATCTCAGCTCTGTGACTCGACACAGTGACTGCGAGGTTGCAGAGAGGAAATAAGTGGTTTTTGTTGTAATGAGGAGTAGCACTTATACGGCCAATTGTCAGCTTACACAAGCAGTTATATCCTGCCTGCAACCCCTGGAGGGTGAGTGGCATGCGCCAAAGGCTCTGAAACTTTTCTGGAGAGGGTCTGTACTTCAACAGGCAGCCTCTCTGGGGCAGACACCCTTTAGATTTATGGTACTGTGTTCTATTCAGCAGAAGATGTAATGATCTGCATTTTAGATGTAACAACTGTCGGTCTCTGTATTTACCTCCACTGCTGTAACTTTTCCTTTTCAATTCCTTTCCTCCTCTGCTTCCAAATGCTTGATACTCGCTCCTCCACTTCTCACATCCAAAGGTCATCTGAGACTTCGATGCTTCTGCCCTGCACATTCCAAAAGAAAATTGAATCCATGTAATCATCGTAGCTCTTTTTTCTTGACAGTCAGTATTACAGTGGAACCTGTGGGCCAGTTCTGGCTCTACTCGAGTTGGAAAGGGAAGGGCAGAGGCTAAAGGTTTCTGTAAGTGCCTGCTGAGGCCTTGCTTCAGGGGAGGCCCACGGGAACCTGAGCTCACCCCGCAGCCTGTTACGGAGAGTTAAAAGTGGACAACAGAATTGGATTATGAATTCCCAGCTTCCTGAAGAGACCCAAAAGCAACTTGCACTCCCTTGTACTCCAATGAATCTAACCGCAGAGCACGTAAGAAGCAAGGCTCTGTTGCTTATGACACAGTTTAATTCTCTTGCATTCCCCCTGCATGCAGTTTTGTTGCTAGGCAGTGGGCTTGATATTCGTCTGATTTAATGTCGCTTGAAGGCCTCTCCACTAATACTGCTCTCTGTCTTGCCGCAGAACGTGCGGCGCCTCTTGCAGAACCCCAAGGTGACGGAGTTGGACGCTGCCCGGCTGGTGATGCTCTATGCCCTGCACTACGAGCGGCACAGCAGCAATAGCCTGCCAGGGCTGGTGACAGATCTCAAGAACAGGGGTGTGTCAGAGAAGTACCGGAAGGTAATTGCAGCATTTCTCCTTCAGCTGGATGAATGAGTGGGACAGGAGGGCACAGAGGTGGAAAATCAGTGTTAATTGGGGTAAAGCTTCCCTGCTTTCCTTTAGCACAATGTTTTTTTTGTTGAACTGTGCCTCACCTTGTGAAAAGAACCCTGAGCTTGGCCGGGGGCCTGCAGGTGTTACTTTGAAAGGCATACCTAATCACTTAATTTCCATTTCCAAAATCATAGAATAATCATAATCATACAATCACAGACTGGTTTGGGCTGGAAGGGACCTTAAAGCCCCCCCAGTGTCACGCCCTGCCCCAGGCAGGGCCCCCTTCCCCCAGCCCAGGGGGCTCCCAGCCCCGTCCAACCTGGCCTTGAACCCTTCCAGGGAGGGGGCAGCCACAGCTGCTCCGGGCACCCTGGGCCAGCGCCTCACCCCCCTCACAGGGAAGGATTTCTGCCTTAGATCTCACTGAAATCTTCCCTCTTTCAATTTAAAACTTACCCCTTGTGCTAAACCCATACTCCCTGCTAAAGAGTCCCTCCCCACCTTTCCTCCCCCCCCTTTAAGCCCTGGGAGGCCGCTCGAAGGGCTCCCCGGAGCCTTCTCTTCTCCAGGCTGAACCCCCCCAACTCTCTCAGCCCGGCCTCCCAGGGGAGCTGCTCCAGCCCCCCCAGCATCTTCGTGGCCTCCTCTGGCCCCGCTCGAGCAGCTCCGTGTCCTTCTGCTGTTGGGGGCCCCTGAGCTGGCCCCAGCACTGCAGGGGGGTCTCCCCAGAGTGGAGCAGAGGGGGAGAATCCCCTCCCTGGCCCTGCTGCCCCCCCTGCTCTGGCTGCAGCCCAGGGCACGGGTGGGTTCTGGGCTGCGAGCACACGGGGCTGGCTCACGGGCAGTTTTCCCCCCACCAACCCCCCCAGTCCCTCTCCTTGGGGCTGCTCTCCAGCCCCTCCTCGAGGGCCCAGCCTGGGTCTGTGCTGGGGATTGCCCCGACCCACGGGCAGGACCTTGCCCTTGGCCTTGCTGAACCCCATGAGGTTTGCTCGGTCCCCCCTCTCCAGCCTGCCCGGGTCCCTCGGGGTGACATCCCTGCCCTCAGCATGTCCCCCACCGCACAGCTCGGGGCCATCGGGGCACTTGCTGAGGGGGCCTCGATCCCACTGTCCCCATCTCAACAAAGATGGGAAACAGCACCGGGCCCAGCCCCGACCCCCGAGGAACGGCGCTTGTCCCCACTCTCCACAGTCGGCGATGTTATGGAGGCCTGAATAAAGCAGAGATGGCAGGCATGCCAGGAGTCTGTTAGGATGGGTGTGTGCCATCTAAACGGGGCTGGGAACATGCTTCCTTTCTCCTTCTCCTCTTCCTCCCCACCCCTTTTTCCCCAGCTCCTGCTGAATAGGCAGTACTTGCAGCGAAGGACTTGTGGAGACTGTAAAAGGAGCTTGGCTGGCAGGGAGAGGGTGGCAGCGCTTGGCAAATGTAGTGAGCAGCTGGAGAGGAGGTGGAGAAGCAGGATGATGTCACATTGTATGGAGGATCTGCTGTCACTGCAGCAGACTATGGAAATGAAAGCCTCTCTCCTCATGCAGGCAGTGTCACGGCAGAGTGACTTGCTTGGTGGATGTGGGCAGTCCTCCTTCTCCTCCCCTTTGCCCCTCTCCGTGCTGCTTTTTCTGCTCAGCATTGATCTCCCTGACTCCTTGGTTGTCATTCCAGTATCTCCACTGAGCCTAACTAGACAAAATCTGCCGGGAAGCTGGTTTCCCACCTTAATAGGATCCTGGTTTTGCCTCTCTCTGTACAGCTGGTGTCTGCCGTTGTGGAGTATGGAGGGAAACGGATCCGGGGCAGTGACCTGTTCAGTCCCAAGGATGCTGTAGCCATCACCAAACAGTTCCTCAAAGGACTGAAGGTATGGGTCTGCCACAGGTGAAATAATGACAGTTTTAGTCAAAATTGTAGTCACGGAGCAGGACTCACATGCAGTGCAAGGCGGTATGTCATGGATTTCAGAGATTTAATAGCAAGTGCACTGGGCTTTTAGAGCATAATTCTCATAGAAGACAATGGGAGTTAGCTGCTGAAAAGCCTCTCGATCTGGATTTCAGTGGTTCACACTTGATACATCCATCAGACGATGATGCTCCTTTTCTGTGCCTTTGCTGATCTCTTTTAGCTTGCTGCCTTGCTGTATTAATTCATAACAAAAGCTTCTCTTGCACTGCAGGGTGTTGAGAATGTGTATACGCAACACCAGCCTCTGCTTCACGAAACACTAGATCAGCTCATCAAAGGAAAACTCAAGGACAGCCAGTACCCCTACCTGGGTCCCAACACTCTCCGTGACAGGTATGTGGGGCCTTTTAGGGCAGAGCTCGGAACTGAAATGTATCTGCTCCTCCCAGTGCTGCTGCTGTTTGCCTGCAGATGAACAGAACTTAGGCTTGGCAGAGAAATGTCTTGATTGTGTAGGTCTTCCTTGTATTCTCAAGTAGGTGCGCTCCGGAGAGGGCTATTGAGACTGAAACACAGTCGTCTTTTCTTGCTGGCCAAGATGTGACACTTCCATTGTAAGGGCTCAGGTAAAGAATAAAGCCACTGCACCAAGCCGCCGGGATGTTCACATGATGGATTTCAACCTGCCCCCTAACTTCACTCCATGCCATCTGGTGTTTATTTGTAGAGCACCAAAAATAGTCCCAACTGCAAGCTCTCCCTTCTGAGGCAGTTACTATTCCTGATGAGAATGGGATCTTGCTGAATATGGCTAATAACTGTCATTGAGAAGATCTCTGGCTGGCTGCTTCTAGCTGACTTTGCTGGAGCTAAGCTAATCTCTTGTCAATGAAGTCATTAAAGGTAAATGTGGGCCTCGGAGTGAGGGCACTGAATCAGTAGAGACGCCACGTCCTCCTCTAACAGCGTTCTGGACAGAGCACTCCTTCCTTTGGCACCGCAGTTTCCTTTCTGTAAATTAAGTTAAGCCTCTGCCGCGTGCTGGTCAGGTATTTCTTATTCCTTCTGGTGGTAGCCTCCTTTGAGGAGAAGAGCCTGCTGTTGCTTTGCTTCCTTTGGGTGATCCACGATGAGGTCATCACAGCGATTTGCTGAATCTTCTCCAATGTCTGTTAAATGCCCCAGGGTTCTGCGGAAGATGTTTTACATGCAGCATTAGAACAACCGCCATTCCCTGCACACGCTGCATATTATTGGCTTTTTATCAGCAGCTGCCATATTTTTAGTGAAGCAGAAAATAAATTCAAAGTAGTAATTCTCAACAAACGAGGCGGCTGTTGCAGGGCGGTTTGGGTTAAATGGAAACGAGACTCCTTTGGAGCAGGAGAGGAGTGGACTTGGGGACCGGGGTTCAGCGGTGTCAAGGGGGTGGGAGGGGCAGAAGCGTGTAAAAGCACGAGCATTCATGTCTGGCGCTCTTTGAGACGCACACGCACACTGCTCTTCCTCCTCGGCCCTGCCTTGGGGCATTTCGAGCCATCCGATGAAAGCTAAAGTGTATTTTGTAGGAGGGAGGCATCCAAATTCCATGCCAGGCTGACAGCAGGGGACGTTAATCATTTTATTTATGAATAAGAAAGAATTATAGTCATACAAGAGGCAATTTATTTGTGTACGTCCTGGGTAGACCAAAAAAAAAAAAAAAAATCTGCCTTGCTCCAGATTTTCCCTTTAAAATGAAATAGTGGATTTTGGGTAGGGTAGATAGTTGGCTTTAATAGGTGTGAAATATCAAGGCCCCTAGCAACAGAAACGCTATCCTCTGTCCTTGAAACCAGCTCTCAGCTGAGATGGATTTCAGGCCAACAAAAAGAGGTTGGCGGCTGCGGTTTGTGGTAGATTTGAAATGAGACCTGCAGAACAGCAGTAACTGCATCCAGGCATCCCCGACCTGGCTTCGTTCCCAGCTAACCAGAAACAAATGGTCTTCTGACCTTTTCAGTTCCCACTGATATTTTCCTGAGCGGTGTCTCACCTGGATTCCTCTTTAAAGGTTTCCAGAAAAGGGCACAGGAACCTGCCCCTGAGAATCCTGCTGCAAAGAACATGCAAATAATTTACTTGGGAGAGCATGAGAATGATTGAATTCCTACCTCAATCTGAAGGGAAACAGAAGTTGGATGAAGGGAAATGGAGTTGGCACCTCCCGCCTTTCTCCAGAGCAGCCAGAGCCTTGTCTCTTAGCTAAAAGACGTGAATCCTGTAGTTTTGTTGAAGTAAACCTCAAAATACAAAGGCAGAGCTTCCAAACTGTTCTTTCCCTTAAATTTCTCATGGTCCTCCTTTGGTCTGGGGTTGTCCTTGGGACAGTGGCCACGTCCAGCAGTACCGCTGCTGGGACAGATGTCTGCAACGTGATCAGAAGCATAAGGGCACATGGGTTTTAGGGTTGTTTCCTGATGGGAATGTTGAGTTTAAGACATAGGAGCTGCAGGAGTGAGGGTTTATAACTATCAAGAAATAGGCATCTAAATATTTTTGTGTCTGGTCTTTAATTGCTGCATAAAATGGGGGCCACAGCACTGCGGCATCTCTAAAGTATGAATATTCAGTACCAGGAAGATGAGGGCTCATCTAAAACCAGGGTTTATTTATCAGGTTTGGAAGAAAAAGGCCCACTTGATGGTTTTGCCTTAGTGCCAAACCGATTGCGTGAGGAATTTAAATTTAATAATTTCACAAAACTTAGTATAATAAATCACAGCCCAAGGCAAACGGGGCCGCGCTGTCTTCTTGCTTTCTGCCTTCAGAGGATGGTGTTACAGTGATTGGCAGGAGTTCAGCAGAAGGTCAGGGCGCAAGGCTTTGTATTTTCTGATCAAAGGGCCGCAGTCGCTTGAACAGCAACGAATTTGAAAGGATTCTTTTTAACCATTTCTTTCGGTATTAAAGATTGCACTGTTGCAAGGGAGGAAAAGCTCCTGGTCCAAATTCAGCTGTGGAAATTGGCAGCAGTGAGGGAAAGGGGATCTTTGCAAAGCGCTGAGCAGGGTTCCTAGGAGCGAGCAATAAGCAATTCTGCTTTCTTTTGCTTCTCCTCTATTTCCCACTGCGTTAAATATCACCCTTTTTCTCGTATGCCGTCAGCCTCCAGTCCCTTCCACCTTGCTGCTGGAAGGGACTAGCTAGAAAAGTTCCTAAAGCGGCTTCTGCGGCGCAGCAGTCTGCGGGAGCCCCAGCTGCGTTCCCCGCCGTCCAAAACGCCTCCTGAGGTTTGCGACCCCGTCGGCGCGCTCTGCTCGCCGGGCTCAGCCAAAGCCTCCCCTCCGGCTGGAGCTTCGCCTTTTGTTTCTGCTTTGACCTGGGATTTTCTCAAGTAGGGCGTCCGGCCCGACCGGACCAGCTGGACGCTGCTTACCTCAGATGGCTGGAGTCGCCTTTTTCCAGCCGGTTTGTAATCAGGCCGCAGGACCGCTCTGTCACCGCTGCGCTTCTGAAAAACCAAACACGGGTCCTCGGCGTTCTGCACGAAGCAGGCAGCGGGCTGGGCAGTAGAGGCAGGAAAAGGCACGCTGCTCCCTGGGGATCCGGGTGGGCCTCGGCTCTCTCTGAGGTTACCACAGTTTCACCACTGCTTATTGAGACATCTTGGAAAGTTACCTTGTCCGAAAGCCCGTCGGAGTTCAGACTTAAACATGGAACACGAGAACTCACTGATACCATCTAGTTTAGAATATTCTAAGACTGAATGTGATTGTTCTCGCACGGATCTGTTGAGGGGAAAGCTCCTGTTGACTGCTTGAGGAGAGGAAGGATTTGGAGCCATTTAGAAATGTCTACGGCTGACACATCTAAAGGGATGGCTGAGGTATCTCCTTAGGCACTGAACATAAAATCTCCTTTTTTGGAAGCATCAGCTTGCAGCGTGTGATGTGGAACCATTTGGCTCTCTGCTTTTTCAACGGAGCTCACACATACTGCCCTAAAGATTAGGGAAAGCAGTGCTATTCCTAAAGCACACAGAGTATCTTGTGTCTAGTATGGTTTGCGGTTTGTGGATCTTTGGTCTTTTAAGGCAAAACTCTGACTGTGTCCTCGTTTGTTCAAGGAAGTCACTTTTTCCTCCTGTCTGAAGTGTTTGAGCATGTAGCTGTTAAATTGGTAGTTAACCTGGGGAGATACACAGCCACCTCCATAAATTGGGTCCGAGGAGCGCAACAGCTGGAGCGCGTGTTGCCGTAGATTGCTTTCCCACTAATCCTCTAACAGTCTTGGAGTTTCTTCCTATTCCCAAATTGCTTATTATTTGCCCTCGACACGAGCAGTAATTCCCCGGACACTTCGTGACGACACCAGGATCCCTTTGCTCTTTCTGTGGCAGTCTGCTCTGCGTGACTGAGCTCACTTTGCTGTGGGAGGAACCCGCAGGGTAAACGCCGGACGGTTTGCGCCGGGCACCTGCAGCGGGAGAGAGGCCGTAGCTCTGCCCCCGCCGCCCCCCGCCAGGCTTCATCGTTAACCCTACGATTCGGCTTCGGGATAGCCTGGTGTCGTGGGGCCACTGAAAGGGGGTGGCAAATTTAAAGGCTGGTACACGTTAAGATGTTCCAGGGGAGCATATGAGAGCTAGCCGCAGGACTTCGGCATCTAAATTCCTTAGGTCTCTGATAGTTCCACCCAAAAATGCACCAGTGATGGTACTAGGAGACTGATCCGGGGGATTTCAGTCTGCACAAGGTAAGAAGTGGCCTGGTCTGGTTCTCTGTTGCTCCAGTGATCCGGTTAGTAACGGAACCTTTGTCCTGAAGCTCCTCCCTGACTGACCAGCCTGTGGGGAGGGGCAGCTCTCTCAACCTGAAAGACCTTCTCCCTAAGAAGCAAAGTGTGGCACGGCCTATTTGGCACGTCTTTTCCACGCATCACGGTAAAAGTGGGCTTGCAGAGATTTTAGGTGTGCTGTTTCTGACAACTGAGAGCGGCTTATCGGGTTATTTCATCGCTGTGCCTCCCCTTCCCTTTGATTTCCCTCCCCAAAAGACTTGGGGACACCTGCATCAAATTTCCAAAGCCGTATGGCAGGCTGTAGCTAAAAAGGCAGGGTGCCGCGCTCTTCTGTGCCCTGGGGCCGGCTCGGTGACTTGTGTTGTCACTGGGCTGCAAAAACCTTCGTCCGCCTCGGCGAGATGCCTGAACCTGCACGGCCTGGCTGTGCGGTTGCCGTATTTGCTATATATAACCTGCTTGTCCTGCGGCTGCAGCGCCGAAGATTTCCCAGGCTGCTCCCGCGCAGGGGACGCAGCGCAGCTCTGCGGGGGGAGCTGAGCACCCCGGATCCCGGGGCTCCGGGAGGGGAGTGGGGACGGCACAGACCGCCCTGCTGAAATCCCGAGGGCAGGGCTGCCTGCCCCGCTGCTCCTGGCGGCGGGGGGGGGGATCGTGGGCAGGGGAGAACTCGCCGCTCTGTCCGGAGAGCGCAGGCGTGAGGCAGCTGATAGAGCAGGTTCCGCTCCTGCTGGCTTCTTACAAAGGATTCCACTCTCAGCCTTTTTCTTGCCACGGAAGCTGTGCAGTGAACTGAAGCTGGAGGTCTTGGCCGTTATTAGAATTATTATAGTCCTCAAGGAGAACAAATTCTCTCGTACCTGTGGAAGAACTGTACTGAGTGCAGCAATTTTTTTGTTGTTGAATTAGCAGTGCTGTGTGTCACTGGAGGGCGTGCCTGAAATGATGGGGTTCCCACGTGCCAGGCATCGAGGCTGCAGGATCCCCTCTCCACCCCGCAAAGGGAGACTACTGGCACCTTCTAAAGCATCTCTGAAATCTCCTTTTGTCTGTCCAAATCATCTTAGGCCGACCTAACCCAAACTCTCTGAAAAGACTGACAGTCTGGGAGGTTACTGGTAACAAAGATGTGTTTGGGAAGTGGCCGTGCGATACTTTTTTCCTTAATTTTTTCTTGCCTTTCCGTGTCCTCTCCGGGGCAGGGAGGCAGTTGTGTGGATCTGATGGCTGACACGTTCGTTCCGAGCCAGTGTCCCATTCTGACAGCAGCAGCAGTTTTACTCTTGGTAGTATTGTCTGTTCAGTGATGCCAAGAAAGAACTCCCTGGTGTTTGTCCTTCCGATGCCCGTGCTGCTCCTCTGGACAGTTACAGGTGTCGAGGGCTTTGCAGGTTGGCTTCTCGGCGGGGAGTAACCAGAGACACAGAGTCCAGATGCATTCCAGGGTCATCCCTGTCTCATGCTCCATTTGCTTTGTCACCGATCCAGAGCTCGCCCAGACAGAGCAGATGAATGCCTGCTGCTTCCACCACTGCAGCGAGCAGCCGTGTCCTAGTGGAAGTACCTGCTAGGAAAGCAGAGATGAGTTTTGAGACTGCAACAGAAAGTTAATTGTGTCAAGACTTGACTGCTCCGACTCAAGCGGGTGACTGACAGGATGTGCTCCACACCTTCTCGTTGTAGATTCTGCAGAAGTCGGTCTCTCAGCTTGTAGGTGGTAGCAGAGCTGATTTATGGGTTGCAAGCACATCCTGCTGTCCCTGAGAGTGGAAAACTGAAGTGATGGGGGAGGGTGGTGCAAGGAAGGTGCAGCCTCCCGTTGAAAGCAGAATGTGCAGGGCCCGTGGCTGGGTTTGTATTTTGTCAGATGGAGGCATTTCCCTCCTTCCCCCCCTTTCCCCTCACGCTACTTCTCTGCAACAGCCTGTGTTTCTAGGCTGGCTAGGGAATGTAACCTCCGAGGTAAACTCATGCACAAATCCCAGTAGTTCTGTAATCAGCCAGCAAAACTGCAGCTGATCCGTGCCCTTCAAAGCAAGCCCGAGAGGTCTGAAGCATGACTGTTGTCCTCGTTTGACTCCTGAATTGATCTTAATTTAACAGCCGCAGCAGTGTCTCGATCATGCATTAAACATTGGCGTATGTGTCATGGTGGAGCTCCACAGGGATGCAGCGTGTGGGTGTTGCTGAGGAGGCTTTTAAGGACCGTTAGCACATCGTGTAAATGTTTAGGAGAGACAATGTTTTAAAAGCAATTTAATGGGCTACACATTGTTGTCAACCTTGAGCCCAGCACATCCCAGAAATGAGACATGGTCTGGGGAAAGAAAGCGTCGGGATCGTTGCCTCAGTGCCCGTGAGTGGTGCAGGGTTTATCCTTGGGGTTTGTGCAATCCCATCTCAACATTTGTGTCTCTGTTGCAGGCCCCAAGATATTATCGTGTTCATCATCGGCGGGGCGACGTACGAAGAGGCTCTGACTGTCTATAACCTTAACCGCACCAACCCGGGCGTGCGGATCGTCCTGGGTGGGACCACGATCCACAACACGAAAAGGTAATAACCATATTTCTTACTGTGGATTCTGGGTACGTAAAACTGCTGACATGAGCATGAATTTGTGACGCCGGAGGGATCTTCATCACGCAGTAAAACACAGAAATGTGTGGAAATGGCCCGAGCCCAGCTCTGCTCATTATGGCTGAGGGACATATTACCAAGCGGAAGGTTTAATGTGCATTTTGCTCAATTCAAGGGCAGGGAAGTAGATGTATAGAGTTCTTCCTGCTTATAATTCACCCCACGCTCTAATATGAATGAGAAGGCAGTGCAGCACGCAGGAATTGAAAACTGACTGTGGTCTCCTTGCTCCTGTCGAAGTCTGGAGCCACTGCGTTCCGTAGCCGTGAAGTTAATGTACCTATGATTAGAACCGAGCTCTGTGCTTACACTGCTCGCAGGCTCCCTGCCGCCCACAAGCCGGCAGAGCATTGGCTGTGGCTTCTGCATTCCTCCCTGGAGAACGGGGCTTGCTGTATTGCTTTGCTCCCAGTTGCCTTTCCCGGGAGGCCAGACATCTGTAAGGGCTCCATCCCTCCAGGCCCTGAGCAGTGCCGGGGAGCGCTGGCCGCGCCGAGCTTCACCGAGTTGCCGGGGCGCCGCGTGGGGGCTGTCCCAGCAGCTGGCTGGCGGAGCTGGGAGGGCTGGTGGTGGGCAGTGCTGGTGGGATTTCAGGTCCCCGGCGCCGGGCTGCGTGAGCCATTCCTCAGGGTCTCAGTCGGGATTTACAGAGAGTCCGGCGGCTTGTGCAGAAACCTGCAACTGCTTTGCTGTAGCTGGCCAAAAATTCCTGTCAATATGGGATGCCTGGTTTATTTCCTGTGAAATGGCGGGTTTCTAAATATAAATAATGTTTCCTGAACCCAAGTTATTCATCTGAGTGAGCACAGGTGAAAATTTAGGCCGTTTTGGGGGACTGTTTCCTGTCAGCACGGTTTGTTGCTAGCCAAGCAAGGGAGCATGAGTTCAGCCGTTACGTGCCTTGCTCCTTTCCACCGCGCCGTCGTGTCCCCGTTCGGAGGAACGCTGCCGCGGCCGGGAGCCGACCGGTTACGGGGAGGAGGGTGACAGCAGGAATGTGGCGGGTGACCCGCAGCTCTCCCATGTGTTGCAGCAGGAAGCCTGGTGAAATCTAAGTCCTGGGCGAGAACCTGGCGTTGTCCAGCAGCTGCTCCGAGCTGGGGAGGGAGGAGAACTTCGGTGTTACCACGTCGAAACGCAGACCAAATGCAACAGGAAGCACAAGTTCTGTTTCTCAGCGTTTGGGATGAAATTTCCAGAGCTGATGAGCAGCTTTGGGGTGCCTCAGCAGTCTCCTGGAGTTCAGGAAGAACACGCTGTTAACCGCGCAGGCGCGGTGTGTCAGGAGTTCAGCTGTCAGGCGCTTCGTTGATCTCGGTTACTGACAGGTGGGCTCCAGTGTAGGGAGCGGCCTAAAAAACGGCTCGCTTTTCAGACCGATGCTGCTGCATCGGACTCCAGTGTGATAGTTATAAAATCCCTGCACTTTTGCCCTTCCTCGTGCCTGTAAGGGATCTTCAGGCTCCAAAGCCGCCCGCACAGAAGCAGTAACAACTCTCTCACAAGGAAATCCAGCGGTTCCTATCGTCACGGGCTCAGAAAAAAAAGGCCCAAACCCTCCAAATTCCGCGTGCCCGCTCTGAAATTTGGCCCTGACTTTAGCTTAATGTCGGATGATTGGAAAGCTGAACTGGTGCTAGCCCAGAAGTAAATTGCTTTTATGAACTGGGTTACAAAGGCAAGTCTGTATTAGCCCACATATCGACCAGTTCCTGCCCAAATTACCCAGCTTGCTCAACCTTCTGCTTTACAAAGTAGCCTTTGAACTAAATCCTGTTTTAGCCAAGCCTAAAATAGTAAGAAGCAGCGATCAGGGGGGCGTACTACCTGCTCTTTGGCTGATGAAAAGCAAGGGGTTAAGTAAATTGTCATCTCCCAAGGAGGCAAAAACCCCTGGTTCATGTTCAGCCTGGCATCTGCTGTAACCTCAGTGCGTTTTGAGGCCGTTTTTGACATCTACCAACGCGCTGGCATCAAACTTCAGCCGGCGTCCGCGCTGCGAACCCGGACGGCGCTGTCATCGCGCCGCGCTACGCACGAGATCCAGAGTAAGCGATCCGGAGCTCGCCGGGATGGTAAAAACTTTTCACACCATATTGGAGGTCGAGACCTGCCCCGAAAGTATCGGTGTAGCAGATTCAGCAAAAACTGTCACTTGAAGTGGGGGGGGGGGGGGGGGGGGGGGGACAGAGAAAACTCACCAGCAGCGTTTTGAGTAGGAGAAGGAAAGCAAGCGTGTGGCGAGGAGGAGGGGTGAGGAGCTGGCTTGAGCTTTAGGGTGCCGTCCCAGCGCCGCCGCTGACCTGTGAGGTGACGCTGGGCAGCTTCCTCCTTTGTCTGTGTGCACCAGAAGGGCTCTGAGCGGGGACTGTCTCTCACTTCTGCTTTACGAAGTTCAAGATTTGCAGCCACGTTGTTGGGCTCCACTTCTTGGATTTGTGCTGTAATGAGTAACGTTAGCTCGTTAGGGCTTCTACCGTGACTAGGTTTTGGCGCAGTCTCTGAATTATTTACAGAAAAACTAGGATACTGTATCAGAATTTGCATTTCAAAGAATGAAGTGCAAAAAAAAAAAAAAGAAAAAGAAAAAAAAAAAACGCTGTTGCTTTTTAAGGGCTGACTACTATAAGGTCCTGTCTGGGAACTCCGGGACGGGGACTGCCAAGGGTCCCACTCTAAAAATAATCCTGCCTCGAATGACTTGCTTTTCCCTAGTGGCTCGAGTAAGATTTCCTTAGTGATGAGAATGAGAGGCCACAGTAATAATAATAAAACTTTAGAACTTTGGAGTCAGTAATCTCAAGCCCTTTTCAAGGGCTCCTGCCCAGGGAGGAGGAGCGGCCCATGCAGCGGAGCGAGCCGACTCGCTCGGGACACCTGAGAAATGAAGACGTTTCCCGAGTGTCAACTGCAATTCTAGCAAAGTGCCCGAGAATCACGGATATTTCAGCAAATACACATCTTGAAACGTTGGTGAGGAAACGTTGATTTTATTGTGTCCTAACTCCTCCAGTAATCCACTGGCCTTCCTTTAATGAACTGCTACTTATTTCTGCTGGATTAGGGTTGATATGTCACAATAAACAAGGAGATTTTTCTATTAATGCGCTGAGCAGCCCATGCAAGCACACTAATCCTGTGCTCTCATTGTTCTTACCAGCCCAACTTAAATTGTGATCAACATCTGTGTTTACAGGGTGGGGGATGGCTTAAGGGATATCCATTCTGCTTTTTTACAAAGCGAGAGACAAACAAGCCTTTGGAGCTGGTTCTGTTGTTAGAGCTGTGTATTTGTGGGAAGCTTATCTGTTCACGAGACCATCTGGATTGTCCAGTGAATACACTGTAAGTAAATGTTCTGAAGTGTGGGAGTGAAAAATACTCTGTGTAGGGATGAAAAATACAACCTTCTGTGTTTGCAAAGAGGGTCCCGAAGTGGACACAGTACGGCCCTGTTTAAAGGTTCCTTATGCTGCACAGGCATGTCAAGGAGAATCTGTCCCTTTTGATCTTTGTGGATTTATATCCGTATAGATGCAAAATAGCGGCAGGCATCTAATAACAGTGCTCATATTCTGAAGTGAGACATGTAGTCAAAGGGATTCTTTATAAATAAATCAGGCTCCAGAAGCCAGCAGGCTCTGCTGTTGGAGTTACTCCCGTTTGAAAAACTCCCAGTGGCTTTACAAGGTATGAGAAAATTTTGGGGGTTTTGACTTCCCTCCTCTGCCTCTAACAGATAAATCCATGTAGCTCACCCGTTCCTCGGCCGCTTTCCTGACGTTACCCGTGGGCAGGTCAGTCAGGGATAGGGCTGGGAACGGCTTGGGTCTTCTGGTCCTGGCTGCAGCCGAGAGCTGTGAGAAAAAAAATGCATTAAAGCAGCGGGGGTGCTGAAAAGTCAAGTGATGAAAGCCAGAGAAATGCAGGAATCCAAAGATCAGAAAATCTCTTTGATTGTGCACGCTCAGTTTTGCTGCAGATGGGGCCTTAAATCTGTCCCGTCTCAGTTTACTTAATTTTTTTCCCTCCGTTCCCACTAACAGGCAACCCTCGCGCCGTTAACTCCAGGAGGGCACACAGATACGCTTTTGGTATGGCTCTGAGAAACACCAGCGGGGTGGAAAAAAAATCTGTTGTTGTCAAGGAATTTTCAGTGTTTTTCTAATCAAACCAGATTGGCTGCCTCTGTTCCTTCTGAAATTTTGGCAGCCCTGCTAAAAATACTTCTATTATGACTCGATTGTCTAAAAGGTAAAAAAGCCTTCCCGGAGCCGTGCCCGAGGTTTGAAATGCCCCATCTGCCCACTTGGTGCAGCTCTGCGGCCGCTGGCGCCTGGGGCTGCGGCTGCGCCCTCGCCACTGCCCGGGGTCGAACCACCTGCTAAACCGAGACCTGGGAGGAGAGCTCCTGGCTGGCTTCTGCCCTGCAACACAGTGAGCTGGAAGGCTGGGGATTATTAATCACAGCTTCTTCTAAAAATGCATATTTGTGTTTGAATTATATTTACTGTGAGAGTTCTTTCTTGACTTGGTGCCGTCCCAGCACTGACTATAGCAGCATCGGTGGTTACCTGCGGGAACCAGGTGAATTCGGGCAAAACTGTGCCGGAGTTCAATCTGTGGTTTTTCAATTTTAAGTTAACGTTTGTGGAGGGGCCCAGGCTCACACCGAAATGCAGAATTCAAAGAGATCTCAGGCATTAGGGCAGGGAGAGAAAAGCGAAGAACCTGATTGCTGAACTTCGAAGTGAACAAGTCAGAATGTGGCTGGCAGCGCCGCCGCGCTGCTGCCCTGCCCCGGGCTGAAAGCTGGAAGGAGGTGGCCCAGGCTTCCCCCGCTTCCTAGAGAACAGTCAGAGTGAGGGAGCTGATTCCTTGCTCTTGGCAAAGGGTTTTGCAACCAGCTCCCTTCTTTTCCTGCAGGGGCAAACGGATTTTCAAGAAATTCCCCTGGGTTTGGAGGAGAAAGGGTTACCAAAATGATAAATAATTGCCTCAAAGTGGCAACCCAAACCCAGGAGGAACATCTGGCGCGTGGGGCTGACTCACCCGGAGCACAGGTTAAGCACAAACCTGCTGTGAGTAAGCCGGGGGGGGATGTGGAGCCTGACCCACTTACCCAGTTAGAGTCGGAGCCTGGTTGTGGCGAACGCGGCGCGCCCCCCCCGCGCCGCCGGAGGCTTTGGAGAGGAGAGAGGGGTTCGGATTCTCCCGGGGGGGTTTGGAACCGGCGCCCTGCTCGGGGGCTCTCCCCCCCCAGAGCGGGGGCGGCCGCGGCGCTGGGCGCTCGCTCGGTTTCTTGCGGGATCTGCAAGGTCGAGGGCAGCGCCGGCGGCCGCAGCCCGAGGTGATTTCGCGGGGCTCCCGTTCACCCCAGTGCTGCGGCGGGGCCTCCGGCTCTTACCGGAGCTGCCCCCCCAGCTGGGGAGACCCGCAGGGGGTGCTCCGGGGGCGGCCCCGCCGCCCACTCCTCGAGACCTCCCCCAAGGCTAACGTGACAGCATCTCGCTGCACCTCCCTCGCCGTTACACACACCAACTTTCTCTCCAGAGAGCAAATAACCAGGAGTCCCCTTTAAAAATAAAAGCAAGTCATTCTCTGGTAAGAACTCAGTCTGCCTGGCTTCTAATTCCTAAAAATAAAACTGGAGGAGGGACAGCTCTAGCTGTAATCACGGAGCCGAATGACCACAGCGCCAGCAATGTTCCTGCGCACCTCTTATAAATCAGGCTGCTGCCCTCTCAGAATGCATATTTCTAAACGGTGCGGTGTCGAGAGCTGGAAATTGGTGCAGGCATTTGCATGAGATTCTATGTTTTCATTATTTCTTTTTAAACCCCTCAAGATTCACAACCTGGGCAGGTAGACCTATTTTTCAACTTGGTTGAGGGCAATCACGTTTTTGTAGGATTCCTGGAATAACCCGCTTTTTTTTGTTGTTAAAAAAAGCATTAACGTTCAGACAACTCGATCAGCATATCGAGGGGATGAGTCAACCTAGAAACCGGTAGGACTGTATCGCATTGCCAGAGTAACCATCTTCCTGGTAACGTATCCTCGTTAGCTCGCCTGTGGGAGCGTTGCTGTGGTTGGTGCAAGGGCTCCGGAGCCGCTTCTCCTCCAGGGGTTTGGGGCGTCACGGGAAGCTTTGCCCTGGTGTTTGTGGCACAGCAGGTTGCGCAGGAGCCGCGTCCGCGCCCCCGAGAAGCCGCGCCGGGCGGTGTGTGCTCCAGACCAGATGGAGGTGGGGAGCAGCAGTGGAGGGCGGGAGCGAGCTCCCTCGCTTTGCTGGTTAAGCTGGGCCCAGCTCCCGGCTGAGCGCTCGCCTCTGCTTGGCTTTTGCAGGCAGGAGTGCCGTGCGGAAGCGTGTAAAGGCCGTAATCAAACAAAACCAACGCAAAGGGCTTTAAAGCATTATTCTTTCAAAGGTTTGGGGTTTTATTTCCTCTGGAAAGGATTGAATTAGTCTCAAACCTTAACCCACCTTTAGACATATTTAAACAAGTGCGTTTCCAAGGTTTAGTCTTCCTTGCTCTGGCGGGCTTTGGCCGGATTAAGCTCCGCTGTGCTCTGTGGAGCGGGGCTGAGGCTGCCGGGGTGCAGGCGCGGCGCAGCTGACCTCGGGGGCAGCTCCAGCAAATACCACTCTGGATGCCTTGCTGCTGCTCGGCTGGCTGCGCGCGCCCGTCCACCCAGACGAGGAGGAATCAAGCTCATGACAGGTGTAAACCCGGAAACTGAAACGCCGCGGCATGTTTTGGGGATAAAGCCGGCCTCTGAAGAGCCACAATGGGGGAAATTCATTTTGCGGGCTCACCGAGGTAGAAATCGTCCCTGTTTCCACCTCACCCAGCACCAGGCAACCCCAGGCCTGCACGCCGCAGAAATTCTTTGCTGATGGAGCTGCCTCCACAGCGACCGCGGCCCCGGCCGTGTCCATACCAGGCTTTTAAGACGCACCGCAAGCATTCCAGAACGGGACTTTCCAAACTATCAAATGCTTAGCTGAACTCTGCTCCTAAAGGTGTAACCGGGCCTAAGTGGAAACAGGCTTAGGCTCGGACTGGATGGTCTTGCAGATTCCGATTTCAGGATCTCAGGATCTGAAGCAGAGCAGGACACAGAGCCCGGCCCGCTGACTCCCAGACATTTTTGCTAACTGCTCCATGCTTGCTCCCTGCTTTGACCTATTTTTCCCTTTTTCCCTCTGCAGTTGGCCAATGCCAGCTGCCAGCAGCTGATCTCCACCTGACCATTTTTTTTCTCGAGAAGCGGCTCACCTATTCAAATGTGTCTCTGAATGTGTTGCCTTCTGGGTTTTGTGTGGAGCCGTTGCCCCAGTTCCAGTTCACGTGACTTTATAGATTAAATCTGTCTGTAAGTCTCAAACTGACCCGTTTCTCGGGGGCTAGCCCCCAAACTCCCTTAAGATTCCTTGGTAAATCATATAGAGGAGAGCCTGGGATGAAGCTGAGCGTGTGCTTACACATTTTACTGGGTTAAAACTTTCTTGAGATCCCACTGAACAAATTGTTACCACCCAGAGGTTTCCACGTGGCTCATTATTTCGATCTGAACGTGGTCTGAAGAGGCTGGAAGTTGGAGGGAGGGTCTTGCTGTGGATGTGAGCCCTGGGCCAAGGCGCAAGCGGTGACCCAGGCTGCTTTCCAGAAAGCCCTGGCTGTGAAATGTCAAGGATGCCTCAGCAGGAGGTTTCCACCCTGCCTCTTCCTGCCTTATCATCCGCACAGGAAGACGGAGTGAAGCAGAAAAACAAGCCTGAACGTCGAGCCTTCCTGGCTTTGTTACTGAGCGGCGAGAGGGGCTGCTGGCGCAGCCCAGGTGCTGAGCTGAGCCCACGAGGAGCTCCTGCCCTCAGTCTGGAAGGAAGCCTGCCCGTTCCCGGCACGGGGAGAGGCGAGGCCGCCCGCACGGGATGGAGTGTTTGAGGATGAGTGGCCTCGTTGAGGGAAGGTGTTGAGCTGGTGACCCGTGCTGGGTGCTCCCGATTTTGGTCCCCAGGGCAGGTCATTGCACTCCCGTTGCTTCGCGCTTTGTTCTCCCTCCCTGAGTTCGTCCTGGCTGGTGGGAGGATCTGTTGCTGGGAAATAGGAGCTGGCTCCAAGGCTGCCATTTCACTTATTTTCTCTTGGGTTACTGTCTCCTGACTTTAGCTGGCCCAGCCTGAGGCCGTTTCCCCTTGCAAGCAGCTGGAGGGGCAGTTGGTCAGAGGGCGACCCGTCCACCCTGCTGCTGTCCCGCCGCCGTGGGGGCTCAGCCCTGGAGGAGATGAGATGGGGTCCGAGTGTTTCTGTCACCTGCCCCCCCCTTCAGGGACCCTCAGTCCCTGACGCTTCCTCGCTGCCGCCGCCCTGGGGAGGGACCTGCTGGGTTTGACAAGAGCCTGAGGAGGGGAAGGGGCATCACTGCTGGGACCGGGGCGCTGGGTGGGGTTTTTGCAGCATCACGGGCTGTTGCAGGCAGGCCCTCTCCTCTTTGCCACCATCAGCACATATTACAGAGTGACTCTGTCCCCACATCCCGGTGACACTGGGGGAGAAAACAGACGTTTTCCTAGCTCTGAGGTTGTAGAGCACTTGTTGGTGTTGTTCAAGGGCTTGAGGGTTACTTGCTGCC